TTCTACACCTTATAGTATTCCAGCCTATTATGTCATGGACCACCACACACATGGTTCACCTATTGTACGCATTTTAGGAATCAAACCGATCCTCGATGCATCAAGCAAACAATTCATAACTGCCCTACCCTCTACAGGAACAGGGGGCCGTATGGCCCAGTCGTCTAAGGCGCCACGATTTGCTGTGCAGAGTCGCGTCCCTTGGGCACGCCAGAAACCTATGATTGTGGGTTCGAATCCCGGTTTCTAGGTTTGTCAGCTCCATACCTGTGCTCATGGGTTCCACCGAAGTGGTAAATGTCTGAGACCTGCATCACTTCAGGCTTTCCTCCCACATAAGAGTGAGTGAGTGAGTGAGTATGGTTTTACGCCGCTTTTACCTCCCACATTAAGCTGACACGCTGTGATATAACTAATACTGTTAAAACAGCGTTAAACCCAACTCCCATACTCTACAGGAACATCACATGAAGCAAAACAACAGTACAACCTCTCCTCAAGAACCATGTCCTAATTTTGTCATGCACTTAACAGGGGCGGTCGGGTAGCCTAGTGGTTAAAGCGTTTGCTCGTCACGCCGAAGACCCGGGTTCGAATCCTGACATGGGTACAATGTGTGAAGCCCATTTCTGGTGTCCCCCGCTGTGATATTGCTGGAATATTGCTAAAAGCGGCGTAAAACCAAACTCACTCACTCACTCATGCACTTAACTGTGTTGTGGTCAGTGGACCCCTGTGATCAAGTGATTAGAGGGTTCAATCCCCCTACATCAGACCAAAAGTGTTTGAAATATGATACTTGTTACCCTTCCTGGCGCTCAGCATTAAGGGATAAAACAAGGACTGGTTGTCTCGGAGTCAGTTCACTGTGTCTGGGGGTATCCATGCAGTTACCTGGCAATTTCCAATTTGAAACAATATGTTAATCCAGAAATTTGTACCTAAAGAACTTAGTATGAAACCAACAAACAACCAAAAAATGGTATACAATCAACAGATGTTTTTAAAAAATTAACTAGGTTTTCAAATCAATACAAGTTACTGCACAGCAATTAAAATGGCAGTGCATAATAGAGTTGTAGTACACTATTGAATGGCAGTATCAAGTACAACATATGGTGGCAGGAGTGATAGCAACAAGTACAGTGATATTAATATTCACCTATCTTTAACAGTGGTCAAGTTTCAGATTGGGAATCACCGGTGGTAACTGATCTTCACACAAGAGCAGGGCCCACTTGCACAAAGCAATCTTAGCGCTAAGACTGTTGTAAGCCTATGCTGAAGTATGGGAGTTACGATCATCTTAGCGCTAAGATCGCTTTGTGCAAGTGGGCCCTGGTCTTGATGTAATGTCAGTTGAAATGTGAGTTGAGACAGGCTGGGTCCCGTTCCACTTATATCGTCTTACTAGCTTCCAGCACTTTGCACATGTTTCTTTAAGGGCTTGTCGTCCACCCATGCTATTTTACAGATAACGAGCGTCTAAATATAATAACTTCCTCACCACATTTTGCATTAAATGGTACTACATTCCCGACAAAAAAGAAACAACGTAATACAGTTTCAATCACTGTTAATACTAACAATAAATTACATTGCTGTATAGCAATGCTAAACAGCATGTTATCTAAGTAGGCTAGCCCCGCAAAACCGGCATTAGACGGGACAACTACATGCCGACAGACGCACGCACGCACACTATCACATGTACGTATGCAGACACATCGCAATATAAGTGGAATAAACTTGAAAGCGATGGTAAACTACGGAAGCCTTTTAGGGCCATTTGTTTTTTTGTTTTTTTCGATACTATCTTGAAATTTCAAGATATTAAGTTGAAATTTCAAGATACTAAGTTGAAATTTTAAGATAACATCTTGAAATTTCAAGATAGAGAAGTTGAAATTTCAAGACACTATCTTGAAATTTCAAGATACTTAGTTGAAATTTCAAGATAGAGAAGTTGAAATTTCAAAATACTAAGTGGAAATTTCAAGATAATAAGTTTTTAACATCCTAAGATGTAAAAATACGTTTGAAGTGAATAATCTTGAAATATCAACTTAGTATCTTGAAATTTCAAGATAGTATCGAAAAAATTGAAAAAACAAATGGCCCCAAAAGGCTTCCGTAGTAAACCCCATTTCACCTCACATATGATCAGTGAATGAGTTAGGCAGTGACATATCAGTGTAATGTGAGGTGGGAGCAAACCCCAAGTGTTGCTTACGAAGGCAGGTGCGGCGCTGGGAAACAACTAGGGCGAATTTGGGATTCGAACCATCGATCACACCATTCTGGCCTACTTTGGGACGATACGGCACCGTGAAGCCATGTTGAGGATTACACTTGGACATCCACTTGCCAATCTTTGCCACGTGTAACAAAACATGGCGTGTATTGAAATTTACCTGCATGTGAAATTGTCCAAGGTATTATTAAAATTAAAATAATCGTAATTGGAAGGTCACTTTTCGTACCTTCACCTAAACTAAGGTATTACCCTCGTACTTCAGGCCTGACGATTTGGGATGTGCGAGAAGTACAATGTCAGTACCCGAGGGCCTTGGACCTTAATTATACCGTTGTTCCTTCAGCAATCACAAAGGATATTCTTCGTTCAACAGCTTTTATTCACACTTAGTGTTTGCAGTTAACCCACTCTATTTTCCACTTCTCTTTTTGGCGCTCGGGATAAAGGGACTAAAACAAGGACTGGTCGGCTCGGAGTCGGTATACTGTGTCTGAGTGGGATATTATGTTAAACTGCGGCATGGTATCTCAGTGAGTTAGCACTATAAATCGGCATCAGTCCGGACTAGTACAAGCAGCCACACACACACGCGTGCATGCACGTCGCTATATAAGTGCAATAATCCTGTACGCAACGTTAAACCCCATTTCACCTCACCTCACTATTTTTCACTTAAATAAGAGACTTCGGCCGCAGAGCTTCAGTCTCAGTCGCAATGTTGGTGCCTCAGAGCGGGCACACCAGGGCCCACTTGCACAAAGCGATCTTAGCGCTAAGACTATTGTAAGCCTATGTTAAAGTATGGGAGTTACGATCATCTTAGCGCTAAGATCGCTTTGTGCAAGTGGGCCCTGACCTAGGTTTCGGGTCTGCCCTTCAGCAGTTCTCATCTTGTCGTTAAGCATTGGTCGGCAACCTTTCCCCCTTCAAGAGACCATTCCAACCTAACGTAGTTGTTTTTACCAGGATACTATTAGGTCTGTCGAAAGACGTACTCCCCCATCTCCAGAAATCGGAACTCCTAATACTAATATATGCTTTACCTGTTGGTTGGTCTCTTAATATTATTGCTCCATTTCTGGTAGCTTGGATGACACCTACTCTAGACTGTTGCCAATTCTTGTCATAATATCTGGTATACATTCCTCTTTATTTCTACGACTCACTGATTTAACTTCCCTTTAATTCTCTGAATATATATTACAATTTCATGCCTATAATACGACCGCCCCCACCCTTTCTGGTGAAGAGTGTGTCCTCACACTCTAAGATGGTGCCAATTCTTGTTACTATCGGGCATACATTCCCTCTTATTTCTATGACTTACTGATTTAACTTCCCTTTAATTATCAAAATACATATTACAATTTCATGCCTATGATACGACCCCCTTCTAGCGAAGAGTGTGTCCTCACACTCTAAGATGGTGCCAATTCTTATAATATCTGGTATACATTCCCACTTATTTCTATGACTTACTGATTTAACTTCCCTTTAATTATCAAAATACATATTACAATTTCATGCCTATGATACGACCCCCTTCTAGCGAAGAGTGTGTCCTCACACTCTAAGATGGTGCCAATTCTTATAATATCTGGTATACATTCCCACTTATTTCTATGACTTACTGATTTAACTTCCCTTTAATTATCAAAATACATATTACAATTTCATGCCTATGATACGACCCCCTTCTAGCGAAGAGTGTGTCCTCACACTCTAAGATGGTGCCAATTCTTATAATATCTGGTATACATTCCCACTTATTTCTATGACTTACTGATTTAACTTCCCTTTAATTATCAAAATACATATTACAATTTCATGCCTATGATACGACCCCCTTCTAGCGAAGAGTGTGTCCTCACACTCTAAGATGGTGCCAATTCTTATAATATCTGGTATACATTCCCACTTATTTCTATGACTTACTGATTTAACTTCCCATTAATTATCTAAATATATATTATAATTTCATGCTTTTAATACAATCTTCGGTTACCTGGATTTTGTGAGCATGGCTCAATTGAAGTCCCGCTAAAAATAAATATAATTTTAATAGAATCAAACAAGCCCGTTTGAATTGAAAGGAGCCCCAATGAGAAGGGAGGACCCCGTTGGAAAGCTATCCTGTTTGTCTCTAGGGCTCGCATTTGGGTAAACCTTCCAGTGATAGATAGGATATGGAAAATCTAGATTTACTTCATCTAGGGCTATAGCATGACAGTAAGGGAACCAGTGGAGATATAATGGTAGACTAGATCTTCAGCAACCCATGCTTGCTGTTAAAGGTGACTATGCCTTTCGTAAGAGGCGACTAACAGGATCGGGTGATCAGGCTTGCTGACTTGGTTGAAGCATGTCATCGTATCGCACCTTCAGGGATCGATGCTCATGATGTCAATCACTGGTTGTCTGGTCCAGACTCGATTATTTACAGACCGCCGTCACATGGCTGAAGTATTGTTGAGTGCGGCGTTAGCAACAAACAAACAAACAAACAAACAAACAAATAAACAAGAGACGAAGCGTTAGTCTTGTTTGCGTTTGGCGTTATCTGATCTCAATTAGGCACATTTGTACATGTTTCCTGCTTCATCCGTTACATCTGATCTGAAACGAACATTTCCGACCTGTCATCCTCCAATGTTTCCGGTTATGAAAACAAAGCATACTATGAATAGTTTGTTTTTGAAAATGATGACGATGATGATGATGATGATGATGATGACAAACAACATTTACTTTTATCACAGCGTGTATGTTTTAATGAAGACCAAATGCGGCAATATCTTTACTCAATGGTTTTACACAACAAAAATAATAATGATAATAGTAATCTCTCATCTCTCACTCGCCCTGCATGATCATAATGATGTTAATAATAGGACCAATAATCTCTGATCTAACCCACTCTTGCACATAAACTGCCGGCCACAAGAATTAAATAACGCACTTTAAGATTGAATTTGGCAAACCAATTTCAAACATTATCAAAATGTTAATATACTGAATACAGTCACCGAAACAATTCACGCGAAATAGCTTTATTGTTGAGAAAAATACGATGTGAATCCCAGTTTTGCCCCATTTTATGTTTCTAGGTTTGTCGTGCTGGCGGGTTTAACCAGTGAGATGAGACCTGCATCACTTCAGTCTTTCCTCCCACATTAAGCTGACACACCGTGATATAACTTGAATACTGTTCAAAGCCGCGTTCAACCAGACTCACTCACTCAATGCGTCACAAACTGATTACATTACGTCATCCCACATTAAGCTGACACACCGTGATATAACTTGAATACTGTTCAAAGCCGCGTTCAACCAGACTCACTCACTCAGTGCGTCACAAACTGATTACATTACGTCATCCCAAATTAAGGTGATACTCCGTGATATAACTGAAATACTGTTAAAAGTGACGTTAAACCGTAACGCACTCACGCATAAAGAAGTGCATCGGAGGGACGTTTCAGTTGTTGTATTGGCAGGAATGACTGGCCATGGATTAGATTCTCGGATTCTTGAATTTCATCTGAGTTGTGAAATATCATGAACAAACAGTCACTGACATCACCACAGTGCCCGTCTAAACTCAAGAAAACACTTTTTGACGCAACAAACACCCTTTTCTCAGTAAACAATGTCTGACACCACCCCGCAGTGCTGTGACACCTCTGTCATATACAGTCAAGTCTTCTCACTAAACAATATCTGACACCACCTCGCAGTGCTGTGACACCTCTGTCATATACAGTCAAGTCTTCTCACTAAACAATATCTGACACTACCTCGCAGTGCTGTGACACCTCTGTCATATACAGTAAAGTCTTCTCACTAAACACTATCTGACACCACCTCGCAGTGCTGTGACACCTCTGTCATATACAGTCAAGTCTTCTCACTAAACAATATCTGACACCACCTCGCAGTGCTGTGTCAACTCTGTCATATACAGTCAAGTCTTCTCAATAAACACTGTCTGACACCACCCCGCAGTGCTGTGTCACCTCTGTCATATACAGTCAAGTGTTCTCAATAAACAATGTCTGACACCACCCCGCAGTGCTGTGACACCTCTGTCATATACAGTCAAGTGTTCTCAATAAACAATATCTGACACCACCCCGCAGTGCTGTGTCAACTCTGTCATATACAGTCAAGTGTTCTCAATAAACAATGTCTGACACTACCTCGCAGTGCTGTGACACCTCTGTCATATACAGTCAAGTCTTCTCACTAAACAATATCTGACACCACCTCGCAGTGCTGTGACACCTCTGTCATATACAGTCAAGTCTTCTCAATAAACACTGTCTGACACCATCCCCGCAGTGCTGTGTCACCTCTGTCATATACAGTCAAGTCTTCTCAATAAACAATGTTGTGACAAAAGGCACAATTGAATAATATTAGAGATAACTGAATCAATTTGTGAAATGATATGCATCGATGCATTATGTTTGTCTGATCATGTGAATTCATATATGGATGTATCGCTGGGACGTTTCAATTTAAATGCGTTAAAGAGTCAACTCTCCTCGATAAACAATGTCTGACACCATCCCCGCAGTGCTGGATCGCCATTGTGATTACGTACATTAGCATGGGCACCATGATCAAGGAGCAGAGCCACCAACCGGCGGTACAAGTCTGCTTCGGAAGACGCTGTGGAGAAGATCGACAGTTGGTTATCTTCATGGGCAGCCACAGAGGAGAACTCCAGGTCCTGGCTTAGCACTGCAGTATTTCTGGCAGCAGAACACAGCAGATGTAGCGGAGTGTTGCCTGCCATGTCCTTGCTCATAACATCAGCTCCATGTCCAATCAGTGAGGCACATATGGCAATGTCAGGCACTTGAGCAAAGCACAAAACAGTTTGATGAGACAATGCATTATGCAAAGGGGTCCTCCCTTGAAGATTTTTCAAATTCACATCAGCTCCTTTTTTCAGAAGTGCATCAACAATTTCTTTGAATCCTCTCGCTGCTGCATTGTGTAGTGATGTGTCGCCTCTGTCGTTTTGTTGATTCACGTCAGCTTGAACGTTCAGTAGGAGATCAACGCAGTCCAAAGCCATTCCCCAATCTCCAGGCACGAATGTCTTCTTGCCTTTAACATGGCACACTAGCACACGCTTATTTAACGAACACGCTGGCACTATATCGAGACCCCATTTTGAACCCCTCCCTGATGCAATGTGGAGTGGTGTATCACCATTATTATTTTGTATATCCACATCACATCCACTCTTCAGCAAGACATCCATGTGATTCCTCGATATACCCCACGCTTTCCAATGACATAATTTTACAGCAGTATAATCCTTTCCCAATTCCTCTTCCAGTAGTTCTTTACTTTGTTGCACATTGATGCCAGTTTTGGGTTGAAATAACAGATCAACCCCATCATCACCAGATCCCAGTTCAGCTGCAGTGTACACTTGTGTACCACTAATAGTGTGTGGTACATCGTAGTAAGATCCGTATGATAATGATACTTTGCTGTCGCCCTGAGCTCCTATTTTCAATGTTATATGAAGCAATGTGTCACCTCTACTATTCTGTACATTCACATCAGGTCCAGCCTGTATTATATTTTCAACAGCATTATGACACCCCCATGCTGCTGCCACAAGCAACGGTGTGTCGCCTTTGTCGTTGCACAGATTTATATCTGCTCCAGCCTTTATTAAATGACCCACACCTCTTTGGGAATATCTGAACATACTAGCAGCGTGAAGTGGTGTGTTTCCTTCATCGTCCTGCGCATTAACATCAGCCCCAATGTTTATCAATGTATCAATTTGCGTTGGAGATACAAGTACAAGTCCTGAATGTAGAGGCGTGCGTCCTTTCTTATTGCGTGCAACAATAGAAGCCCCAGCTTCAATTAACTCATAAAGGCATTCTTTATTCCCACATTCAGCAGTTGTATGAATACACGTTTCCCCATTATTATCAGCTAAGTTCAGGTCAGCCCCAGACTTAATCAAAAGTTTTAAGGCGTCCGTGGACCTGCAAATTCCTGCTCTGTGAAGTGGTGTTGCGCCTTGATTCTTCTGTGCATTTACATTAGCTCCTGCATCTATCAACATGCGCATACGTTTTGTTTCTCCTTTTGCAACAGCAAGATGTAGAGGTGTTTCCCCCTCATTATCTTCTGCATTCACATTTGCTCCGGCTTTTAATAAAATGTTGACATGCACTTTAAGCCCATTCCATACTGCTACATGAAGTGGTGTCCTACCTGAACTTTCACGTGAATTGACATCAGCTCCAGCATTAATCAAAATTTGAACACAATCTCTCAACCCAGACATAGCTGCTGTATGCAGAGGACTGTAACCTTTATCATTCTGTATGTCCACATCAGCTCCTCCACTCAACAACATCTCAACACGTTCTCTAGATGACCCCTTTATTCCTATATGCAAAGGTGTGTCCTTGTTATCATCATCCTGGATGTTCAGATCCGATCCTGCTTCCAGTAACGCTGTGATGCAGTCGTCAAATCCAAACCTAACTGCTCTGTGTACCGCAGTACAGCCTTTGATATTGAGTATATTCGCATCAGCTCCAGCCTTCAGGAGGATGGCTACATATTCATGAGCTCCAAGCTCTGATGCAATATAAAGTGGTGTTTCACCTGCACCATTCTGGGCATTGACTTCAGCACTGGCCTTCAGTAAGACATCCACACACTCATCCGATCCCGCATCTACGGCTATGTGGAGTGGTGTGTTGCCGGCTTCATTCCGTACATTAACCTCAGTAGCCTTCAGCAAAAAGGCAACACATGGGCTTGATCCACATCTGACGGATCTGTGGAGCGGTTTCTCGCCTGCCTGGTTACTTATATTACCATCAGCTCCTACCTTCAGCAGGCTATCCACGCACTCCTCAAACCCCCATTCTGCTGCTAGGTGGAGGGGGGTGTCACCCTTATTATTCTGCAGGTTCACAACAGCTCCAGCCTTAATGAGCACGTCGACACACGACTTTGATCCCCTCCATGCTGCTTTGTGTAGGGCGGTGTCAGCTATATTGTTTGCTACATTCACATCAGTGCCAGTTTTTGTCATCACCTCTTTATGCCCAGTCTCCCCAGATGAAATGTGTCCATAGCTTCCCCCACTTTTAGAGTCTGCACCAAGTTTGCTAAGCAGGAACTCGAGCACTTCAGACTTTGCTCCCTCACAGGCAGAATGGACAGGAGTGTCACCACCAGAAGAAACCGTGGTCATTGTTGCTCCTCTCTGAATTAAAAACTTCACAGTATCGATATCCCCTCCTTTGCAGGCTGAGTGAAAAGGGTTGTTGCCTTCCAGAGACAACATGTTGACAGATGCGCCTTTTTCAAACAGAATCTTGACGAGAGGCAGGTTTCCACTCTTACAAGCACTGCACACTTCCTCCCCTGATACACGAGCTCCCCTGTCCTGCAGCAACTTTATCAGGTCCACTTTGCCACTTCTGCAGGCCAGGTACATAGGAGACTCTCCAAATGTGTCTGTCACATTGATTTCTACTCCTCCATCAGCCACCGCTGCAACTGCTGCGGTATGACCGTATTCACACAGATAATGTAAGACAGTCTTCCCCCAACGGTCGGATGCACGGAGGTCAGGTCCATACGAAAGAATCTGCAAAACAAAATCAGAGTCTTTTGTTTCTGCAGCTATCATCAATGGTGTCTTTCTGGCATTTCCATATGTAGTGTTTATGTTTATTGCCACTTTTTGAGTCAGATATGTCAACACAATTCCAGCAGAATTCTTGCAGACACCAAACAGAATTTCACTTATTTGTTCTGGTCTGAGGGCAGTGTTGCCTGTCTCCATAAGATAACGAAGCACATTTATGGATTTGCTACTGGGGAGTAGTTCCAGGAAGGGATACCCTGACATTTTATCAGAGCAGGTAATGAAATCCTTTATAGATATTTGATGATTGATTGACAGTATGTCCATGAATGTTTGAATAAACTCAACATCCCTACACACTCTGTGGGATAGCACGAGTATGAAGTTCCTGTTTGTGATTTCATAAGCAAATCTTTTGGCCAAATCGGAAACATACGATTTGGGGATATATGCAACCAACCCTGCCTCAGTCTCAGAACTGCCTGTTTGGGTAGATTCGAGACGTAGTCTTTGGTGGATGAACGACATACTGCAGTTGGTTATAACAAACCGTGTATTTTTTGTGCAAAGAATAAATGCAACACTATCATAGACAGAAGGGTGGTCAAACATGTACGTATCTTCTTCTCGCTTGAGATAGGATCCAACCAGATTATTTGCAGCCGTTATGCACTCATATCCTAGGTCCTCATCAGCATCTAATTCATTTTCAGACACTTTCCCATCTCTTTTGATTATCATCATCAACACTTTCCGCTTTATGCTATCGTTCATCAGCTTGTTCATTGTTTGGTTCAGAAAATCAAGGGGTTTGTTAAAGAATTCCTCCATCGAAATCTGATTGTCGTTGCAATATGCCCTTAGAAACATTCTACAAACATGTGGAAATCCATGCGGGCAGTCAATTTTACAACATTGTTGTACAGTTTCGTTTTCAAAATGTAACCCTTGAGCCAATGCATTCCAAATTCGTTTCTTCTCCTCCACGTTTCTCTCCGAGGATACCTCGATTACATAGTTGTCGCTGGTGATGAAGGAAACGAGTCTTCCCAAATCTGCCACTGAAGACTGTAGAACATAATCTCGACCAACAAGAATTATTGTCAGTTTCCTACTTTTCCCTCCGTTCTTGTGCTCCTTGTGTGGTTCCATTGGATCCAGAATTGGGCGAAGCACTGGTCTCCATCTCGACCATTCCACCACACTGAATTCCAAGTCTCCCAAAATGTCGTCCAGCATGATGAGGGGCCAAGAGCAGGTCATGGTGACCTCAGAGAACTCTGCTGGGGTTTCGACCTGGAAGACTTGTCTCCCCTTGCTATGCTGGTCTTTGAGTGCCATGTAAGCAATCGTGGACTTCCCTTCTCCAGGGCTCCCCTTAATGGTCACCCAAGTGGCTCCTTCGTCGAGTTTATCCGTCACCTTCTTGAGAGCCTCAGTTTTCACCATTTCGTGCGTCCATGTCTCAATCCTCATCTCTGTTCTTTCTGCAACATAAAGTGAGCTAGCACTATAAATCGGCATCAGTCCGGACTAGTACAAGCAGCCACACACACACATACACGTGCATGCACGTCGCTATATAAGTGCAATAATCTTGGACGCGACGTTAAACCCAATTTCACCTCACCTCACCTCACATAAAGTGTAAGTATAATACACGCTTCTGTTTCCTCATAAAGATATAACCAGATGAATTAGCATTAGCCAGTCTTTTTATGTTTCTCATCTCACACTGGTTCTCAAATTTGAATATAATGAATTTCAAATATTTAAATATTGAACAGAAAAATTATTATTTTTGTGGAGAAAACTGAGCACACAATTTCATAAAACTGTCCCCCAAATATTCATGATTCCTAACTTTTTTTTGTTCATTTTTTATCCGCCCATTCGCCTGCTTGAATATATGTCCTCTGCCCGGTCAAAAGAAACAGATTTCCCGTTTCATAAGAAATCTACGTATTGCCATGTGCGGTATCAAACCCGACTGAGTGTGTTGAGCACAGATTGAACATGCAGTTACCCAGCCACCCTCCAGGATGGACCAACATTACATGATTGTATCTCCAGAGTATTCAGAACATATTATGCAGTTACTCACTTCTTAGTTTTTGTACTGTAGTCAGCGTGGTCTCCTCGTCATCCTGTCCGGGGGCAGGTTTCCCAATGTTCTGGGTTCCTCCAATGTTCAGGTTTCTGCCTGTTGGGACCGTCACCTGCTGCTCCAACTTGATGAAGTTGTACTGGACTGCTGCTGGAGTGAAAGAGTGAGTGAGTGAGTGGGTGAGTGGGTGAGTAGGTGAGTGGGTGAGTGGGTGAGTGAGTGAGTGGGTGAGTGAGTGAGTGAGTGAGTGAGTTGGGACCGTCACCTGCTGCTCCAACTTGATGAAGTTGTACTGGACTGCTGCTGGAGTGAGCGAGTGAGTGGGTGAGTTGGTGAGTGGGTGAGTGGGTGAGTGAGTGAGTGAGTGAGTGAGTGGGTGAGTGAGTGAGTGGGTGAGTGAGTGAGTGAGTGAGTTGGGACCGTCACCTGCTGCTCCAACTTGATGAAGTTGTACTGGACTGCTGCTGGAGTGAGCGAGTGAGTGGGTGAGTTGGTGAGTGGGTGAGTGAGTGAGTGAGTGAGTTGGGACCGTCACCTGCTGCTCCAACTTGATGAAGTTGTACTGGACTGCTGCTGGAGTGAGCGAGTGAGTGGGTGAGTTGGTGAGTGGGTGAGTGAGTGAGTGGGTGAGTGAGTGAGTGAGTGAGTTGGGACCGTCACCTGCTGCTCCACCTTGATGAAGTTGTACTGGACTGCTGCTGGAGTGAGCGAGTGAGTGAGTGAGTGGGTGAGTGGGTGAATGGGTGAGTAAGTGAGTGAGTGAGTGAGTGGGTGAGTGAGTTGGGGCCGTCACCTGCTGCTGCACTTTGATGAAGTTGTACTGGGCTGCTGCTGGAGTGGGTGAGTGAGTGAGTGAGTGAGTGAGTGGGTGAGTGAGTGAGTTGGTGAGTGAGTGAGTTGGGACCGTCACCTGCTGCTCCACCTTGATGAAGTTGTACTGGACTGCTGCTGGAGTGAACGAGTGAGTGAGTGAGTGGGTGAGTGAGTGAGTGAGTTTGGACCGTCACCTGCTGCTCTACCTTGATGAAGTTTTACTGGACTGCTGCTGGAGTGAACGAGTGAGTGAGTGAGTGAGTGGGTGAGTGAGTGAGTGAGTGATTGGGTGGGGGATTGAATGAGCTGGTGATTGATTGGATGGAGGATTGAGTGAATTGGGGATTGATTGGATGGAGGATTGAGTGAGTTGGTGATTGATCTGGTGGGGTATTGAGTGAGTGGGTGATTGATTGGATGGAGGATTGAGTGAATTAGGGATTGGTATGGGGATTGATTGAGTTGGTGATTAATCTGGTGGGGGTTGAGTGAGTTGGTGATTGATTGGGTGGTGGTGTGGTGGTAGATTGAGTGAGTTTGTGATTGATTTGGATGGAGAATTGAGTGAGTTTGTGATTGATTGGATGGAGAATTGAGTGAGTTGGTGATTGATTGGATGGAGGATTGAGTGAGTTGTTGATTGGTCGGGTGGGGGATGGTGTGTGTTGTGATTGGTCGGGTGGGGGATTGAGTGAGTTGGTGATTGATCGGGTGGGGGATTGAGTGAGTGGGGGATTGATCGGGTGGGAGGTTGAGTGAGTTGTGATTGATCGGGTGGGGGGTTAAGTGAGTTGGTGATTGATTGGATGGAGGATTAAGCGAATTGGGGATTGATTGAATGGAGAATTGAGTGAGTTGTTGATTGGTCGGGTGGGGGATGGTGTGTGTTGTGATTGGTCGGGTGGGGGATTGAGTGAGTTGGTGATTGATCGGTTGGGGGATTGAGTGTGTTGTGATTGGTCGGGTGGGGGATTGAGTGAGTTGGTGATTGATCGGGTCGGGGATTGAGTGTGTTGTGATTGATTGGGTGGGGGATTGAATGAGTCGGTGATTGATTGGATGGAGGATTGAGTGAGTTGGTGATTGATCGGGTGGCGGATTGAGTGTGTTGTGATTGATCGGGTGGTGGCTTCAGGGAGTTGTTGATTGGTCGAGTGGGGGATTGAGTGTGTTGTGATTGGTCGGGTTGGGGATTGAGTGAGTTGGTGATTGATCGGTTGGGGGATTGAGTGTGTTGTGATTGATCGGGTGGGGGATTGAGTGTGTTGTGATTGATTGGGGGGGGGGGGGATTGAATGAGTCGGTGATTGATTGTCGGGTGGGGGATTGAGTGTGTTGTGATTGATCGGGTGGGGGCTTCAGGGAGTTGTTGATTGGTCGGGTGGGGGATGGTCTGTGTTGTGATTGGTCGGGTGGGGGATTGAGTGAGTTGGTGATTGATCGGTTGGGGGATTGAGTGTTTTGTGATTGGTCGGGTGGGGGATTGAGTGAGTTGTTGATTGATCGGGTGGGGGCTTCAGTGCGTTGTTGATTGGTCGGGTGGGGGATTGAGTGAGTGATTGAGTGGGTGATTAAGTGCGAGAGATATGTGCGTGCTGGTTGATGGTGGGGTTGGGGGTAATGTTGTTATACGCCGCAGTCGGCAATATTCCAGCTTTACCACGGCGGCTTGTTAAGTATCAAGGGAATACGACCCACGCCATCAGCAAAGTCACAGCACCCGCTCACATGACCTATTCCATTCAACTGTTACGACGAGCATGTTGGGCAAATGGAGCCAGTTCCTTGTCGGTAACCATGTTGGAAAGGCAACATTATTACACTGTAACAACCTTATGGGGAAACCGAGATTGAACTGGCCCTCATCATGTTGGTCGTAAGAGGCGACTCAATGAATCGGGAAGTCGGTGACTTATTTGATGGAGCGTCAACGTACCACCACAGCGTGGGCCATCTTTTGTTGATGGTATCCCCGACGCTGGTGCAGGTGTGAGTTGGCCGTGGGATGATGGTAGCCCCGACGCTGGTGCAGGTGTGAGTTGGTCTTGAGTTGATAGTTGCCCCGACGTCAGTGCAGGTGTGAGTTGGCCTTGAGTTGATGGTTGCCCCGACGCTGGTACAGGTGTGAGTTGGTCTTGAGTTAATGGTTGCCCCGACGTCAGTGCAGGTGTGAGTTGGTCTTGAGTTGATGGTTGCCCCGACGTCAGTGCAGTTGTGAGTTGGTCTTGAGTTGATGGTTGCCCCGACGCTGGTGCAGGTGTGAGTTGATCTTGAGTTGATGGTTGCCCCGATGCTGGTGCAGGTGTGAGTTGGTCTTGAGTTGATGGTATCCCCGACGTCAGTGCAGGTGTGAGTTGGTCTTGAGTTGATGGTATCCCCGACGCTGGTGCAGTTGTGAGTTGGTCTTGAGTTGATGGTATCCCCGACGTCAGTGCAGGTGTGAGTTGGTCTTGAGTTGATGGTATCCCCGACGTCAGTGCAGGTGTGAGTTGGCCTTGAGTTGATGGTTGCCCCGACGCTGGTGCAGGTGTGAGTTGGTCTTGAGTTGATGGTTGCCCCGACGCTGGTGCAGGTGTGAGTTGGCCTTGAGTTGATGGTTGCCCCGACGCTGGTGCAGGTGTGAGTTGGTCTTGAGTTGATGGTATCCCCGACGTCAGTGCAGGTGTGAGTTGGTCTTGAGTTGATGGTATCCCCGACGCTGGTGCAGTTGTGAGTTGGTCTTGAGTTGATGGTAGCCCCGACGTCAGTGCAGGTGTGAGTTGGTCTTGAGTTGATGGTTGCCCCGACGTCAGTGCAGGTGTGAGTTGGTCTTGAGTTGATGGTTGCCCCGACGTCAGTGCAGGTGTGAGTTGGTCTTGAGTTGATGGTTGCCCCGACGTCAGTGCAGGTGTGAGTTGGTCTTGAGTTGATGGTTGCCCCGACGTCAGTGCAGGTGTGAGTTGGTCTTGAGTTGATGGTTGCCCCGACGTCAGCGCAGGTGTGAGTTGGTCTTGAGTTGATGGTTGCCCCGACGTCAGTGCAGGTGTGAGTTGGTCTTGAGTTGATGGTTGCCCCGACGTCAGTGCAGGTGTGAGTTGGTCTTGAGTTGATGGTTGCCCCGACGTCAGTGCAGGTGTGAGTTGGTCTTGAGTTGATGGTTGCCCCGACGTCAGTGCAGGTGTCAGTTGGTCTTGAGTTGATGGTAGCCCCGACACTGGTGCAGGTGTGAGTTGGTCTTGAGTTGATGGTATCCCCGACGTCAGTGCAGGTGTGAGTTGGTCTTGAGTTGATGGTTGCCCCGACGTCAGTGCAGGTGTGAGTTGGTCTTGAGTTGATGGTTGCCCCGACGTCAGTGCAGGTGTGAGTTGGTCTTGAGTTGATGGTATCCCCGACGTCAGGGCAGGTGTGAGTTGGTCTTGAGTTGATGGTATCCCCGACGCTGGTGCAGGTGTGAATTGGCCTTGAGTTGATGGTATCCCCGACGTCAGTGCAGGTGTGAGTTGGTCTTGAGTTGATGGTTGCCCCGACGTCAGTGCAGGTGTGAGTTGGTCTTGAGTTGATGGTATCCCCGACGTCAGTGCAGGTGTGAGTTGGTCTTGAGTTGATTGTTCCCCCGACGTCAGTGCTGGTGTGAGTTGGTCTTGAGTTGATGGTTGCCCCGACGCTGGTGCAGGTGTGAGTTGGCCTTGAGTTGATGGTATCCCCGACGTCAGTGCAGGTGTGAGTTGGTCTTGAGTTGATGGTATCCCCGACGTCAGTGCAGGTGTGAGTTGGTCTTGAGTTGATGGTATCCCCGACGCTGGTGCAGTTGTGAGTTGGTCTTGAGTTGATGGTACCCCCGACGTCAGTGCAGGTGTGAGTTGGTCTTGAGTTGATGGTTGCCCCGATGTCAGTGTAGGTGTGAGTTGGTCTTGAGTTGATGGTTGCCCCGACGTCAGTGCAGGTGTGAGTTGGTCTTGAGTTGATGGTTGCCCCGACGTCAGTGCAGGTGTGAGTTGGTCTTGAGTTGATGGTTGCCCCGACGTCAGTGCAGGTGTGAGTTGGTCTTGAGTTGATGGTTGCCCCGACGTCAGTGCAGGTGTGAGTTGGTCTTGAGTTGATGGTTGCCCCGACGTCAGTGCAGGTGTGAGTTGGTCTTGAGTTGATGGTTGCCCCGACGTCAGTGCAGGTGTGAGTTGGTCTTGAGTTGATGGTAGCCCCGACGCTGGTGCAGGTGTGAGTTGGTCTTGAGTTGATGGTATCCCCGACGTCAGTGCAGGTGTGAGTTGGTCTTGAGTTGATGGTTGCCCCGACGTCAGTGCAGGTGTGAGTTGGTCTTGAGTTGATGGCTGCCCCGACGTCAGTGCAGGTGTGAGTTGGTCTTGAGTTGATGGTATCCCCGACGTCAGTGCAGGTGTGAGTTGGTCTTGAGTTGATGGTTGCCCCGACGTCAGTGCAGGTGTGAGTTGGTCTTGAGTTGATGGCTGCCCCGACGTCAGTGCAGGTGTGAGTTGGTCTTGAGTTGATGGTATCCCCGACGTCAGTGCAGGTGTGAGTTGGTCTTGAGTTGATGGTATCCCCGACGGTGGTGCAGTTGTGAGTTGGTCTTGAGTTGATGGTTCCCCCGACGTCAGTGCAGGTGTGAGTTGGTCTTGAGTTGATGGTTGCCCCGACGCTGGTGCAGGTGTGAGTTGGTCTTGGGTTGATGGTTGCCCCGACGCTGGTGCAGGTGTGAGTTGGCCTTGAGTTGATGGTATCCCCGACGTCAGTGCAGGTGTGAGTTGGTCTTGAGTTGATGGTTGCCCCGACGTCAGTGCAGGTGTGAGTTGGTCTTGAGTTGATGGTAGCCCCGACGCTGGTGCAGGTGTGAGTTGGCCTTGAGTTGATGGTATCCCCGACGTCAGTGCAGGTGTCAGTTGGTCTTGAGTTGATGGCTGCCCCGACGTCAGTGCAGGTGTGAGTTGGTCTTGAGTTGATGGTAGCCCCGACGCTGGTGCAGGTGTGAGTTGGCCTTGAAGTGATGGTATCCCCGACGTCAGTGCAGGTGTGAGTTGGTCTTGAGTTGATGGTATCCCCGACGCTGGTGCAGGTGTGAGTTGGTCTTGAGTTGATGGTATCCCCGACGTCAGTGCAGGTGTCAGTTGGCCTTGAGTTGATTGTTCCCCCGACGTCAGTGCAGGTGCGAGTTGGCCTTGAGTTGATGGTGACCCCAACACTGGTTCTTGTGTCTCATAGTCGCTTGGTATTCCCTCGACTTTGGGAGATGCGGGGATTCCTTGAATACATGTGTCAATCTCTATAATAAGGAAATACAACTCAAAACAAGTTACAGAACACCTACAATCGGGATGTTGTGTGGTGCAATACCCGGCAACCAGGACACATTAACTATTGGCATATGAAAAATCGGATGTTCTTTAACTTCTTTTGAGCAGTATACAGAACTAAACATGAAAATCATTTGTGATTATGTAATGTTATCACAACAATTCCATATTTGATATTTTGGTATTCAAAAGGCATAAGGAGGTGATGGTTTAAACTCTATGCTGTGTGATCAACACAACGATTTATCATGGAAGCTAATACTAGGCATCACGTTGAGATTGATCAGTTAACCTTTATGGCAACGGTTGAATCGAAATCCGGCAGAGACTGGATCCTGGCAAGGGAAAGGGACACAACTCTACTGAGCGACACGCAGCGGAATCGACTTTCAAGTCACCTATGTCTCCCAAATGTCCATATATGTAAATATTTACTATTTACTTGTTAGTTCACAATCATAACACAATACAGCTAATAATAATCACACATAACAGTTAATAATCATAATATTTAACATTTAACAAGTGGCCTAAAAGACGACATTAACCCACAGCAACACTTAAATAGTGTAGTCAACAATCGTCTAGAAATATAACAGTCAACAATCGCCTAGAGAAAGAACAGTCGACGATCGTCTAGAGATATAACAGTCAACAATCGTCTTGAGATATAACAGTCAACAATCGTTTAGAGATATTACAGTCGACAATCGTTTAGAGATATTACAGTCGACAATCGTCAACAATCGTCTAGAGATATAACAGTCAACAATCGTCTAGAGATATATCAGTCGATAATCGTCTAGAGATATAACAGTCAACAATCGTCTGGAAATATTACAGTCAATAATCGTCTTGAGATATAACAGTCAACAATCGTCTAGAGAAAGAACAGTCGACAATCGTCTGGAGAAATAACAGTCGACAATGGTCTAGAAATATAAAGTTAACAACTTTCTAGAAATTTATCAGTCAACACTTGTCAAGAAAACTCAACACTCAACTCACCTTTATTTACACTTTGAAAGGATTGGTGAGTGACAGTTTGACCAGTGACGTTGCCGAAAATCGTCCTGAGATCGGTTAAATCAGCATGGCTGTTCTCTTCCCCGTCATCCTCCTCCTCGTCCTCGTCCTCCTCATCCTCCCCCTCCTCCTCCTCGTCATCGCTACAGAATAGATCCTCTTCCTCGATGCCTCTTTCTTCTCTCCAGTCTTCTTCATCTTCCTCATCAGCCGTCACATAGTCGTCATCATCATCACCATCTGTGTCTGACATTTCTCCCCGACACCGTGGCCCTGTTATCTAACACGCCTCACTTCGCGATGCAGAGTCACCCACGTAGCTGCAAGGGTCCTGCTCCTCCAACATGGGGTGACCTTGACCTGCACTGTACCACAAGTAAATATACCTGTAGAAACTGAACATTGTACAACATTCAACAGCACGTAGCAGTATTTAGCATACGGTTGTATGCAGTATATACCGTATTTGACGCATTTTGCGCCCCGCTCTAATAAGCGCCCACTGCGATATTTGCTAATTTATTGGCAAGTGAACAATCTCAATTAGCACCCCTTCCGATTGATCAATGTACAAAGACTTATTTATTCGTGTATAAAACGCACTCGTGTGTTATATGCACCCTTAATTATGGGCAATTAAATTCTGGAAAAATATATCTGTCGTACATAAACATTTCAGGCTGTCAGGATAAACCACGATACTTATCTTTTAACTATGTTTTTTTACCACCAAAATAATATTCTAATAAGAGCCCCCTATTTTTAATTTTGAGAGCGCCCTGGGCGCTTATTACGTCGAATACGGTAACACTATACTGCATACAACAGCATGTAGCAGTATTTAGCATACGGTTGCATGTGGTATATAACATTATACAACATTCAACATTTTACAACATTCAACAACATGTAGCAGTATTTAGCATACGGTTGTATGTGGTATATAACACTATACAGCATTCAACAGCATTTAGCAGTATTTAGCATACGGCTGTATGCAGTATATAACATTATACAACATTCAACAGCATGTAGCAGTATTTAGCATACGGCTGTATGCAGTATATAACATTATACAACATTCAACAGCATGTAGCAGTATTTAGCATACGGTTGTATGTAGTATTTAACATTATACAACATTCAACATTATACAACATTGAACTGCATGTAGCAGTACAAGTGTTTAGCATTAGGTAGTATATAGTATATTACATTATACAACATTCAACAGTTTATAGCATGCACGTAGCAGTGTTTAGCATTAGGTAGTATATAGTATATAACATTATACAACATACAACAGTCCCCAGCATGCATGTTTCAGTATTTAACATTGCATTCAGCAATGAATAACATACCTCTGTATATAGCTTTAAGCAATGTATAACGTAAGCAAGTATATATCATTCAGCAATGTATAACTTTAGCCAGTATATATCATTGATCAATGTATAACATTCGCCTGTATATCATTCAGCAATGTATAACATAAGCCAGTCTATAGCAGTCAGGAATGTATAACATAAGCCATTATATATCATTCAGGAATGTATAACATTAGCCAGTATATATCATTGATCAATGTATAACATTCGCCAGTATATCATTCAGCAATGTATAACATAAGCCAGTACATATCATTCAGGAATGTATAACATAAGCCAGTACATATCATTCATCAATGTATAACATAAGCCAGTCTATAGCAGTCAGCAATGTATAACATAAGCCAGTATATAGCCGTCAGCAGTGTTTAACATAAGCCAGTATATATCATTCATCAATGTATAACATAAGCCAGTCCATAGCAGTCAGCAATGTATAACATAAGCCAGTATATAGCCGTCAGCAGTGTATAACATAAGCTGGTATATATCATTCATCAATGTATACCATAAGCCAGTCTATAGCAGTCAGCCATGTATAACATAAGCCAGTATATAGCCGTCAGCAGTGTATAACATAAGCTGGTATATATCATTCATCAATGTATAACATAAGCCAGTCTATAGCAGTCAGCAATGTATAAAATAAGCCAGTATATAGCCGTCAGCAGTGTATAACATAAGCCAGTATATATCATACATCAATGTATAACATAAGCCAGTCTATAGCAGTCAGCAATGTATAACATAAGCCAGTATATAGCCGTCAGCAGTGTATAACATAAGCTGGTATATATCATTCATCAATGTATAACATAAGCCAGTCTATAGCAGTCAGCAATGTATAACATAAGCCAGTATATAGCCGTCACCAGTGTATAACAAAAGGCAGTCTATAGCAGTCAGCAATGTATAACATAAGTCAGTATATAGCCGTCAGCAGTGTATAACATAAGCTGGTATATATCATTCATCGATGTATAACATAAGACAGTCTATAGCAGTCAGCAGTGTATAACATAAGCCAGTATATAGCCGCCAGCAGTGTATAACATAAGCCAGTATATATCATTCATCAATGTATAACATAAGCCAGTCTATAGCAGTCAGCAATTTATAACATAAGCCATTATATAGCCGTCAGCAGTGTATAACATAAGCTGGTATATATCATTCATCAATGTATAACATAAACCAGTCTATAGCAGTCAGCAATGTATAACATAAGCCGGTATATAGCCGTCAGCAGTGTATAACATAAGCCAGTATATATCATTCATCAATGTATAACATAAGCCAGGCTAAAGCAGTCAGCAATGTATAACATAAGCCAGTATATAGCCGTCAGCAGTGTATAACATAAGCTGGTATATAACATTCATCCATGTATAACACAAGCAAGTCTATAGCCGTCAGCAGTGTATAACATAATCCATTATATATCATTCATCAATGTATAACATAAGCCAGTCTATAGCAGTCAGCCATGTATAACATAAGCCAGTATATAGCCGTCAGCAGTGTATAACATAAGCTGGTATATATCATTCATCAATGTATAACATAAGCCAGTCTATAACAGTCAGCAATGTATAACATAAGCCAGTATATAGCCGTCAGCAGTGTATAACATAAGCTGGTATATAATATTCATCAATGTTTAACATAAGCCAGTCTATAGCAGTCAGCAATGTATAACATAAGCCAGTATATAGCCGTCAGCAGTGTTTAACATAAGCTGGTATATATCATTCATCAATGTATAACATAAGCCAGTCTATAGCAGTCAGCAATGTATAACATAAGCTGGTATATAGCCGTCAGCAGTGTATATCATAAGCTGGTATATATCATTCAGCAATGTATAACATAAGCCAGTATATAGCCGTCAGCAATGTATAACATGAGCCAGTATATATCATTCATCAAAGTATAACATAAGCCAGTCTATAGCAGTCATCAATGTATAACATAAGCCAGTATATAGCCGTCAGCAGTGTATAACATAAGCCAGTATATATCATTCATCAATGTATAACATAAGCCAGTCTATAGCAGTCAGCCATGTATAACATAAGCCAGTATATAGCCGTCAGCAGTGTATAACATAAGCTGGTATATATCATTCATCAATGTATAACATAAGCCAGTCTATAGCAGTCAGCAATGTATAACATAAGCCGGTATATAGCCGTCAGCAGTGTATAACATAAGCTGGTATATAATATTCATCAATGTATAACATAAGCCAGTCTATAGCAGTCAGCAATGTATAACATAAGCCAGTATATAGCCGTCAGCAGTGTTTAACATAAGCTGGTATATATCATTCATCAATGTATAACATAAGCCAGTCTATAGCAGTCAGCAATGTATAACATAAGCCAGTATATAGCCGTCAGCAGTGTATAACATAAGCTGGTATATATCATTCATCATTGTATAACATAAGCCAGTATATAGCAGCCATTAATGTATAACATAAGCCAGTATATAGCCGTCAGCAGTGTTTAACATAAGCTGGTATATATCATTCATCAATGTATAACATAAGCTGGTATACAGTCGTCAGCAGTGTATAACATAAGCTGGTATATAGCATTCATCAATGTAGAACAGAAGCAAGTCTATAGCAGTCAGCAATGTATAACATAAGCCAGTATATAGCCGTCAGCAGTGTATAACATAAGCCAGTATATAGCCGTCAGCAGTGTATAACATAAGCCAGTATATAGCCGTCAGCAGTGTATAACATAAGTTGGTGTATGTCATTCATCAATGTATAACATAAGCCAGTATATAGCCGTCAGCAGTGTATAACATAAGCTAGGATATATCATTCATCAATGTATATAACAGACTTCAGAATATAGCATTCAGCAATGTATAGCATACAACATACAACAATAATTAACATAAATATTCAGCTGATATCACAAAATGTTTAAAAAGCAATCAGTACTCACGGATCAAATGCAATTAAATGTTAACGATCTGGGTAGACGTCAGTGATCCACCCGCGTCATCCAGCAAGCCAGCTGGATGTGTCTGCAGCTAGCCTTCTCTAACTGAAAGCGCCACTCTGTCACTGCATCCGACTCATTGTCACTGCATCCGGCTCTCTCACCACTGCATCCGTTTCACATTGCTGCAACGTCTAAATTAGTTCTCTGTTTAGTGGCAATGCCTCCCTCAGCATCACACCATGCAATATCTGTAATCTGTCTCTTCCCGTAACATCGCCCTACAGAATCTGTGATCTATCTCTTTCCGTTACATCACCCTACAAGATCTATGATCTGTCTCTTCCCGTTACATCGCCCTACAGAATCTGTGATCTGTCTCTTCGTGTAACATCGCCCTACAAGATCTGTGATCTGTCTCTTCGTGTAACATCGCCCAACAAAATCTGTGATCTGTCTCTTCCCGTTACATCGCCCTACAGAATCTGTGATCTGTCTCTTCATGTAACATCGCCCAACAAAATCTGTGATCTGTCTCTTCCCGTTACATCGCCCTACAGAATCTGTGATCTGTCTCTTCATGTAACATCGCCCAACAAAATCTGTGATCTGTCTCTTCCATTGTAGTCATCTCAGTTATCGGTACATCCACCCACATCATAACACTACCCCCACCAAATCTGTCCACTTTCTGTACGCACTTTCCGGCGTAACGTTCTCCCCGACTGTAGGCCCGTGCTCTTCCATCCACTCGACGGAGGAGAAATCTTGATTCGTCGCTGAACCAGACATCTCTCCATCGCAGTTGAGGCCATACCCTGTGTTGACGACAGCAATGCAGTCGGTGTTGACGATGTTGTCGACTCAATGTGACGCGTCGAACAGGACGTCTTGCTCGTAGACCTGCTGCTCTTAAACGGTTTCGTACGGTCTCGTCGGAGATTCTGCGCAGTCCGGGTATTTGGGATGCGGTTTAGGTGGCTGTGGTTGTCCTTTCACGTAGGCGGAGCAGTCGGATGTAGCGATATTGGGCGGGGTCGGTTACTCTTGGTCGACCTTGACCCATGCTGTTGAAACCGATCCCATAGCCTTGTGATGGTGCTGGGCGCGATATTAAAAACCCTGGCTACAGCTGATCGGGATTCCCCTGCCTGCAAGCGGCCTATGACGTTGTTTCATTGCACTTCTGTTAATCTTGGCATGTTGTTGAACTGTCACTGTTCGATTGACGCAGATGCCAGGCAATCAAAAACCCTGCACTTTAATACCGTTCATAATGCTGCTGCACGTGCAGTACGTGCAGCTCCATGCACATTTTGTTAATGCACTGTGTGCGTTTTTCCGAACCGAATGTGTTTCCCGAATAATGGCTTGCATGCCCTCGTGATCGTTTTGATCAAGGAAATCAAACACATTAAACCTCTACATTTTGCACCTCTTGGTCCGCTAATTTTGCTTTACGGCGCAAAATATCCGTTTTGCGTTTCTTTTTTACAAATAAATATCCTCCATTACTACAGATGACAGTTTTAAACTCCGAGGCTTGCCGAATTGTTATCTTTACTTTTGATGCTATATCGAAAATCAATCCAAAGATATAAATAAATATTTATCTGATAATAATGATTTACTGAAACTTGAATTCGAAATATGTATAAAGGGACTTTCAGTGTCTCGTTGTGATTTTGACTTGCTCTTGATAGTTATAATCGATGTACTTAATGCAGTTACAAGAAGGGTGTTTCCCTTACACATAAGTAAGATTGTAGTGTTTACCAATCGTTCATATGGACTCACAGAAAATAATAAAACTTTCAACCCAAAATGTTCCACCATCTTTCTCACACATACCCTTAATCACACTGAACATGGGTGGCGAAACGAAAAAAAAGGACCTATAGACTACCATGGGATACGAGAAAGTCATGCACGTCACTGTTCTTTTCTCGTTTTGCTATCATCGTTGCTATATCCCCTGTTCTGGTCCTTACATTGATGTCCAGAAGGTTCTTCGAAAGGACAAACTTCACCATGTCCAGATTTCCCTTCTCACAGACTAAGTGAAGGATGTTCTTGCCACCAGTCACCATTGAAATGTTACTTCCTCTACTCAGAATTAAGTTAAAGATGTTTCTACGTCCCAACAGTGCTGCGATCATCAGTGGTGTCATTCCGTTCCGACCTCTGCTGTTGATGTCCACAAAGTCCATAGATATGACATACTGAACCATCTCCAAATGTCCCCCATAGCAAGCTTCATGACATCTTCCCGAGGCAAGTGAGTTAACTGACTATAAAAGTCCAGTTTCCACCCTTGCCGAACTAGGCTGGTATTATGGAGTTACATTTTGGCTTGACTAACGAGTCTATGCATAGTCCAATCAAAATCGCGCACTGAAATCGAAATTCGGTTCGTAATGTGTCATGCAGATTTCCGTCGCCTGCAGGATTTGCAAAGCATGTGCACCCCTAACTCGTTGTCAACAGATATTTTCTAAATCTTTTCATGTTTTTAAACAAGGTGCTCACGTGATTTGATGAACTTCGCGATGTAAGACTCGTTTTATCATTATCGATCAGACCGTCTTGACTGGGCGCCACCGTTTTGTTTGAAGCAAATGCAAGTGATACGAGAGGTTGAATCTGATTGGTCAATAGGAGAAGTATAGAAAGGACATAACTCGTAATAGCCACTGGTGGCGCTACGATCGAGCCCAGGAATTCCAGCCTAGTTCGGCAAGGGTGGAAACTGGACTTTTAAAGTCAGTTAACTCTCTTGCCTCGGGAAGATGGCTTCATGAAGGATGTTGCTACGTCTCCATGTCATCAGTGACACATCACCCCCTTTGCCGACAAGTAAGTCAAATAGTTCTCTGTTTCCCACTTTTGCTGCGAACATCAATGGTGTTACCCCTTATCTACTTTTACTATTGACGTCCATCTTGTCCAGTGAGAGGACACATTTCACCATCTCCACATGTCCCCCAACACAGGTGCAGTGAAGGAAGTTGTTACCATAAATATCACGCAATGATAAATCAGCTCCTGCACTGACAAGGAAGGCAAACACATCCCTATAACCACTGAGTGCTGCCATCATCAAAGGTGTCCTGTTGCATTTCTCTCTACTGTTAATGTCAACGATTGTCTGTGATACGATACACTTTACTATCGCCACATGTCCCCCACAAGTGGCCATGTGAAGAATGTTGTAACCGAGATCGGCAACCAGTGACACATCGCCTCCTGTATTTATAAGAAGGTGTACCACGTCTCCATACCCTGCATACGCAGCCACCATCACGGGTGTCCTTGCCCACCCGTCTCTGCTGTTGATGTCCAAGTGTTCCTCAGCCAAGATGTGTCTCACCATGTTCAGGTCCCCCTCCCAGCATGCATCACGAAGCCGGTTGTCACGTGACATCCCCTCTCGGTCACATGGTTTGTCTTGAATGTATCTTTTACGAGAGGACTGCCTTCTATGTGTATACATTGTAAATTTTATACAAATAACTGATTAAACAACAAGAGTCTGCTTGGCGTCATTTGCACAATTTGTTTGTGTGGTTATGTACGATTAGAAGTATCAGACATGAATAGCTTTTGTGAACATTTTGTGACAGTTGTTTATCGCTAAATCAAACATTGAATGTTAGCACTACTTTCCGTGAAATACACAAATTGTTAATTTTGAGGAACACTTTTGTTAAAATCATCGAGACAATGAGGCAGTTACCTGTAACACAAACGGTTTTTCCAAACCGAGTCTCCAAACATCGGGACGTGACACTTCAAGACTTGGTTAGGCAGGGGCTAGTCGGAACCTTTGCTCAGAAGTTAGAAAAACTGTGTCATACAATGTGTGTATTGTCGATATACAGATATATGTATTTACATATTGTGTGTTTGGCTCTCATGTATGTATGTCTGAATAATCATAGCATGGATGTAGTTACAAGAGGGCTACCCCAACGCACCCATATGTGTGTAGATATTGTTCATATACGGTTATATCTGTGTGTATCCTCAGGTACTGAGTATTTATGTTTCATTTTTGTGTACATCTACGACTAGTGCTAACAAAGGGTTTATCGTCCATTTAAGCTAAACGTGTATAAATAACAGGTGATGCGAATATCTAAGGAATATAAAATAATATACATGTTTGGTCGGAATCGTTCAATCGACTTAATTTTTGGCAGAGATTGTATGACCATAGAAAGGGTTTTGTCTGTTTTAATTAATAATACCATGGATTAATATTATTCCCAGAAATAGTGATCACATTTCTAAACATACTCCCCGATATCGCATTTTAAAATGATGTGTTTATCATCAATTGGCTCATGTCAGACACAGGAATGGAGTAAGGAAGTGAATGAACATTTTAATTTGTACCAGAAAGTTTTCAACTTGTTGGTGACGTTAACCCTTTCAAGGAAACAGATACATTCGATCCTAGATAGTATACGAATAAATAGAAATAGATGATAAAGAGGGCTGAACATGTTTGTTTTTCTAATTGATGCTTTTGTATATAATCTGAATAACATGTATATATCTGTAAGTAGAAACGGAAGGCACAGTTCAAATATGCTTATGTCTAGATCTTTGTATGTAAACATAATGCATCTGGCAGATTGTCCAAATTCACCATAATACTGGATTAATTACGGGAGAAAATGTCTAAAACGTAGCTTTCAACTAAATTATGTCCCTGAAAATACATGTTATCATGGAGTCATAAACTGTCATACATTTGTAAAATATAAACACTCATACTTGTAGATCTCCAGGTATATCAACACACATCACGAACTATGTTTAACTTACGTCAGTTTGATTCCTAAGGAGAAATATGTATCCTGCATTCTTCTCGATATTCTTTGATTCAGTAGTCCGTAGGTGGCGGATGAAACATTCTAAATCGTATTCCATCCTCAAACAACCACCGTTTTCAATACACCTTATTTGGCACAACTTGAAACCAATGTTTTTTAAGGGATGTGTCTTCTGGGAAAATAGTACAGGGAGATTTCCTTCACGTCGACAACACAAGCAGGAAATACAGAGTCGAAATCAAAACCATGTCCATGCGTTCACTAAGACACAATACAGTAAACTACGGTTATAACGAACTCAAAGGGACTACTAATTTTAGTTCGTTATAACCGTAGTTCGTTACAAGTACATATACAGCATGACTACAGCAAGTAGTCGGGACCAAAAAGTAAGTTCGTTATATCCGTCAGTTCGTTATAAGCGTGTTCGTTATAACCGTAGTTTACTGTAGTATCATCTTGACGTGACGTAATTAGAATAGCACAGTACTGACTGATTTCACCACTACTGACGTACTGATGGAGTGCTATGATCACGTCAACGATTGTTGTGGCAACGTCCCGCGTGATGTCCATATCACGTTTCAAGTCGTGAAGAACAACACTGTTCACTCATTGAACCTTAAAAGCTGTACCTTTTAAATATTTATCCCCATTAAAAAAAAAAATAGCCATGTAATGTCACACAACACATCAACCATATGATAGGAACAAATCAGTATTGAACAGAATGAAAATAATGTGTTACACACGATGATTTAAGTGTTTCGCCAGATATTCGAGACTGATTATTTTCTGCCGTTCGGGCATTTTAGGCCCATCTCAGATTGCGTCATCAGTATGACCGTCAGTCGATGACCAACTACTATAACACCACAGATGAAAATAAATCCAATACTACCACATATGACAATATATCCTATAATGCAACATATGACAATATATCCTATAATACCACATATGACAATATGTCCTATACTACCACATATGACAATACGTCCTATAATACCACATATGACAATATATCCCATACTACCACAGAAGAAAATATATCGTGTACTACCACGCATGACAATATATCCTGTAATACCACAGAGGACAATATATCCTATAATACCACAGAGGATAATATATGCTATACTACCACAGATGACAATATATCCTATAATACCACAGATGACAATATATCCTATAATACCACAGATGACAATATATCCTATAATACCACAGATGACAATATATCCTATAATACCACAGATGACAATATATCCTATAATACCACAGATGACAATATATCCTATAATACCACAGATGACAATATATCCTATAATACCACAGATGACAATATATCCTATAATACCACAGATGACAATATATCCTATAATACCACAGATGACAATATATCCTATAATACCACAGATGACAATTGTCACGGAGCTGTGCTCGAATGATCAGGGGTGTAACAAAATAGGAATAAAGTAATAAAGAAAATGTGGTAATAGTTTCACAGGTTTTTTAATAACGGCTAATTGAACTAATACTTGACAATTAAAGATAAGATAAAGACAATCTGCGCTGACACAGATCACAGACTAATTCCGTCAGTGTAAATTTATACAACCAGTTTAGCTACACAACTGTATTACATACAACAATAAAAAGGAAAGTAGCTAAAACAACATTTTGACAAGATACGGACCAGATGCGTTGACTGCTAATGAACCGGTTCACTCACAAAACTTATACATGCCAAAACATCTACAGAGAGTTGTCATGGCTGATTGAGTTTACCTATTGTTATAATGATATAGTCCTCCTGTAATTAAGAAGACTCATTAGCTTCTTTACGATGTTGTTTTAGAAAGGCATGGAAGGGTACTTTGGGAAGATGAAATAGTTACAGATGTACCTAATGAAAACAACTATTTGGAAATAAAGAAGATTATAATAAAAAGACCTGTCACTTACAATGAAATTAACTGGTTTAGGAAATCACAATTATACACTGTTTAAGATCAAAAGGTTTCATGTGTATGTAGGAAAAGCAACTTACAAGTTATCGGGCTGAGAGTAGTTTGAACCTTAAATTGGGTTTACTCAATTTATTGTGGATTAACACTATAGTATATAACTAGAGTCCATCATGACGCCAAATTGGAGCCATCTGGATCCGCACTAAAAGCATGAACATGGTCCAAAATTTACTCCAAAAATCTCTTAATAAAATACAACAATGGGCTGACAAATGGGGCTTCTCCCTTAACTCAGAAAAAACAACAGGAATAGTATTCAAACATAAAAACATGAAACCCGCTTCCCCAATCCTCCAGCTAAACAATCAAACAATCAAATTTCAAAAACAAACCAAATTCTTAGGACTTATTTTCGATGAACATCTCACCTGGGATGCTCACATCCAAAACCTAACAACTAAATGCAGTAAAGACCTAAACACCCTAAGATGCCTAACTGGCTCTAACTGGGGATAATCCAAAGATACCCTCCTCTCTCTCTACATATCACTAATTAGATCAAAACTAGACTACGGCTGCGCCATATACAACACCCTAAACAACTCTCTATCTAAAAAAGTTGACTCAATACAATATCAGGCTCTCAAACTAATTACACGCACCCAACATGGCACCTCCTACACCTCACTTCAGGCCTTAACAGGAGAAATGCCACTAAGTCTACGCAGGGAACAGCTAAGCTTAAATTTCTGGGCCGCGTCCCAATCAAACCCTCTCATCCAAAACTTAATAAACCAAAACATCAGCCCCAAAAACCAAGCTCTAGCTCGTAAACACCCCTTACTTACCCCAATATCCCAAAGAATAACAAACTACCTAAATGAACACCAAATTAAAAATCTTAAACAAAACTGCAAACAATCAAATATCTTCACCCCTAAACTTAAAATACCCAAAATAGACACAACACTAGCTAGCCAAATAAATAAACAAACCGACCCAAACATAGCTAAAACTACCACACTAGCATACATACACGAAAATTGGCCAAATTGGTGTCACATTTACACGGACGGATCCTCAGATCCGACCTCCAAACACACAGGTTTCGGAGTCCATACCACACAACCAACTAAAACCACACAATCCTTCCGACTCCCAAACAACCAATCAATATTCACGGCAGAACTAATGGGCATGGCCTCAGCCCTCCATAATCAAGAATCCAAAAACCACAATAAAATCCTAATACTTACCGACTCCCTAAGTGGACTGCAAGCCCTCCAAAACAAAAATACCAAAAACCGACCTAAATTAATAAATCAAATACTTAAAAGCTCCAACGACCTAACTAAGGCAGGCAAACAAATAACCTTCTTGTGGATACCCGCCCACGTAGGAATATACGGTAATGAAAACGCCGATAAAGCAGCTAAACTATCCCTCAAAATCCCAGAAATAAGCTTAAACTTACCCATCTCAAAATCAGAAATTAAAAGTGTAAACAAGCAAAAAATCACAAAAAATGGCATAACCTATATCTAAACTGAAATAGCCAAATCAAAAAAGTGCTCAGCAAACCACTAACCAAACCAAAAATTCTCCATCCATCCAAAAAAATCGACAGAGTAATCACTAAACTCCAAACAGGACACACCAACCTGAATAACCACCTAAATTTTAAAAGAAAACACACTACAGGTAACTGCCCACACTGCAAACAACCAGAAACCCCAGAACACGCACTCATCCACTGCACACACTACCTAACACATCGAACCGCATTACAAACCACCCTCAATCTAAACAAGGCTCTAACTCTAGAAGCAATACTAAACCCACAAAATAAACTAGAAAACTTCAAGGCCTTAGGCGTATTCTTAATAAAAACGGAACTAATAAAACGCATCTAAAAACACAATAACCTACCAAATCAAAATCACATAAACAAACAAACATCCACCATACCCAGCTCCCTTAGTTCTCCTCCCCAATCCCATCGGCATCTATTCCAAATCTCAAAAGTCCCCAATTCTATATAAGCAACCCCTAAAACCCCCCTCTTGGGTTGCACAGACCACCTTCGCCCCTTTCGGAAACACATTAAATGGCCTGGCCCACCCGATCCAGGAAATATTACCTACTACTAGCACAGAGTTGTTAGCAACTATGACCTGCTACTAGTAGGTACAAAGACGGTCTCTACGTCTCTGGAGACTAACATTTAATGCTACTACTAGCTAACAGTAACAATTAAATAGCATAACCATATTAGGATGTATGTTCACAGGGGCGCATTTCACGCCATATTGGAACATGCAGTGTCCAACACAGCATTCAGCAGATGGTAGGATGTCTGTCATCATTTTGTTGTTGTTTTTTATCTCCGGTCTAGACAGGCTAGACTTAGATTTAGTATCTTCATACGGTATATGTATTTTATACATCACCTAATTACAATAAGCCATTTCATCGATTACGTCACAGTTTATGTGCACATACGCGTCACGTGATACACAATAATATTTCGAGGGACAAACATTGCAGTTTTTCGCGCGCCTCTATTTGACAGTTGTTTTGACGTTTACCCGCATCCGTATTAACATGGCTTCTACATCGCCTTTGTTTTAACGTGTCTCTGCTGACTGAAGATGTCCCTGGAGCTCAGTTTATTTATCCAGACGTCGACAGACATTCAGTTGTTCAGCTGAAACGGTGGTTGGAGTGCCGAGGCCTGCCGATGACAGGAAGGAAGACCGAACTCGTCGAAAGGTAAGTCGTCTTATTTATTGGTTTTCGTTAAAAATAGTATATGTAAGTTATGAGAATCTATGAAATATATATCTTGGTAAAGGTATCGTGCCGTGATTGTTATCACAATGGTATTACGGTACTCTGATGATTAACCCGATGTGCATATAATTTACGAGACAGACGTCATATCAAAATCCAAACCGGAAGTGATTTCCGTAATATTTGTTTATGCTAATAACGGATAATACTGAAATACATTTGTGTGTTTCAACTCCATAAATGTATGTGGGAATAATAGAAATCTGTCGTATTCGTTATCAGCATGACATTTGCCTGGATGAGAGAATTCGGGCACTAAACGTTCGTCTGAAAAAGGGCAATAACTGTTCCAGTTTTCACCATTTCATGGACACTTAGGCCTAATGCGTCCATGACCCTTCTAATCTAACAGCTTGGGCTATAATCCGGTAATTACTATATTATTTTTATTATACTCACATGATGACCACAACCTGGTCTGGCAGCCCCAATACTATATGTACCTCTGTCAATGATTCTGTTTACACATGCAAACGTTTTTGTTATTATTACTATTATTTTCCAGATTTTTTAAGGCATAAATAATCCCACACAACGAAAATTTCCACGCGAAAATATATAATTTATAGCCATTTTCATCTCTATGTAGTGTTTTTCTTCACACACTTGGGCTATGTGAACATAAGTATACAATTAATTTATTTACTTATATGCATAATTATTACTTCAAAATGACAACTGGTTCAGTATATGACACCATTGCTTCAGGTCACGAGTAAGAGCATTTCGGCATTTTCGAAATAAAACGGGTACCTAACCCTAATGATCGTAAAGGGGTGATTGATCTTGTCAGTATTCTTCATGAAATTGCTATTTAAAAAAAAAAAGTATGTATATTACTATACTCTGCAAAAAACTTGATCCTATTATCATGATTACCCAATAACAATGATTAAAGTGATTGGTATGAGTATGAGTATGATTTTACGCCGCTTTTAGCAATATTCCAGCAATATTACGGTGGGGGACACCAGAAATGGGCTTCACACATTGTACCCATGTCGGGAATCGAACCCGTGTCTTCGGCGTGATGAGCGAACGCTTTAACCACTGGGCTACCCGACCGCCCCTTAAAGTGATTGGACTAATATTACTAGTAATAATATAGATGGAAAGTAATCATGCAATCATTTACTAGTAAGCTCAGGGGTTGGAAACTGAATTCATCTACTCATTAATCAATATCTGAAATTGTAACATAACTGATGTTTATCCATTGTTTTCACACAGATGTCAAGAGTGCATCACAGCTCAGCAGAACACGAACATTGCCATTTCCATTGATAATGGGAAATGGTACCAAATAAAGGTTCAGGATGTTTTGGCATCTCTTAACCATGTTAACAGGTAACTATGAGGTTTCAATTCCAGATTTTATCTTTGACCAAATGCAAAGACTGCGTAAGAATGGGTTGAAATATTATTGATGCATTTCCATTTCTGGATTGAAATGGCATTGAATTCTGTTAACTTTTGTCAAATGGATTTAATATTGTGAACAACATTTGTAATGGAACATCATTTAAAAAGTACCCAAAAAGAAAATGTAAGGGAATTTCCATTACTGTTCACAGCATATTTATTCTGAGAAAATTATATTAATCACTTAAATACATTTGTAATTGAATTAATCAACTCATAAAAGAATTTGTTACAGGAATCCGAAAATATTTTTCCATCAGGTTGACATAAAAATGTTCGTAATATTTTAATTTTCAAAAGCTTCATGTCTTAATATTGGCGTTGTGAAAACAATATCCTTTGGGTCTTCTGTCATGAAATCCCAGGAACCCACCCCCACCCCACCCGCAAATTAAATAAAATAATTGGTCCCTTAAGAAAGATAATAGTTGCATCACATATATGTGATTACAATGTCACATAGCTCGGTTTTAAGGAAGTTGATTATACTTGCACCAGGTGCATGTTGACATGAAAACCCAGTTGCAACAAACAAAATCAGCTTGTCCCCTGGTCCAATAAATATATCAAAGTTGAAACAGGCTGGTCTGCTGCCCGTGTCTTGTTTATTTTTGGATTATTGCTGTGAAACGTAATAGGAACATTTGCACACAATCTAGAAGTACCCACAATGTGACAATGTCAAGCCCACGAAATCATGACAAATTACAAATAACACAGATTAGTTATGTAGTATGGTAAATAAACTGTACAGGTATTGAATGTGATCCAAGATTGATGTGTGGATACACAAGGGTTAGACTTATAGACACACAAATTTGGAATTTTACATGCATTTAGTGCATTTTGACATCAATATTAGGTTGCATGCTACAATAATATGTTGCACTGGTGCATGAATTATATAGCCAAATAGATACATGTGTCATGATTGTGTATTGCGCTATTTTCTCTTTGTTTTACAGTTCAAGTCCGTGTTCGGCTGTGAGGCAACCTCCCACACCACCTATCACTGGATGGAAGGCCTTCCCTTCTGGCAACATCCCACCAACCTTCTCATATGGCGATATATACCAGTATATCATTGCATCAGCCAGACTACAGCCTCTACCACAAGTCACTCCTATCAATGACAGTGATGATGATGATCAGGACACCACCTTCAGCACTGCAAAGCCAATGAAGAAGGGACGAGCTTTTTTTAAGAGTGGCCACATACAAAATATTCAAACATGTTCTAAAAATGAGTATTATTATCTTAAATGTGAATGTCTTCCATCATACAGACTAGGTATGATGTACCATGTACATGTTACTCTTGATAATTTTGCAGTCATCCAGGATGCATCATGTGATTGTGTAGGTTCAGCCACTGGACGTTGTAGCCACATTGCAGGATTGTTGTTTGCATTAGAGGATTATACTGTCAACTTTGGCTATACAGCACCCTCATGTACTTCTTTCTCTTGTTCCTGGAATAAACCCCGAAACAAAACTAGAAACCCACAACCTGCCCACACTTTGCAGTACAGCAAAAAGAGAGCTCCTAACCGTGTTATTGATCATGACCCATGTCCTGTTGTAGATCAGTCTCACAGAGCTGACAGTAGTTTTGCAACTGCTTTCATTTCTACTGCACTTGCCTTGGATACAAATACTTCATGGCAGAGTATCCTAGAAATTACTTATGATGATTATGAATTGTCTAATGACTTGAAGTTATATCTCATGGATAAATGTGATGTTTTCATTGAAAATGTGAAAGAAAGTATTTCAGAGTATGGAGTTGGCCCTTGTGAAGTACCTGGTACGGTGGGTCAAGCAATTTCTGATCAGTGGCATAATGCCAGGTGGTACAGAGTGACAGCATCTATTTGTAAAGACTGTTCTATGGTATCCACAGATCGAGGTAGATATCGCTTGTTATCATCACATGTATGGGGTATTGATTGTTTTAATACTGTTGACATGAGGTATGGATCACATAATGAAAAAAAAGCCTTTGAAGACTATTCATTAAAATATGTAGAAACATTTACCTGCCTTGCAAGTGGTTTCTGGATAAATTCGAAGTATCCTGAACTAGGATGTAGCCCTGATGGCATCTTACAGTCTCTCAGTACAGATGTGGCTGATGGTGTTTTAGAAATTAAGTGCCCATCAGTACTTGAAAACATTAATCCAACTGAGGCAAAAGAAAAACTTACAAAGAAGCAATACTATTCATTTTGCAGCACTTTCGAAAATGGCAGACTGAAATTGAAAAGGAATCATAAATATTATTTCCAATGTCAAATGCAAATGGCCATCTGTGAAAAATCTTTTTGTGACTTTGTAATATGGTCGCCTGAGGGTATGTCAGTAGAAAGAATACCCTTCAATAAATTATTTTGGGAACAGACATACCGCCTCTTGAAAATATTTTACAAAAATATTCTAGTTCCTGAGATATTTGAAATGAGAGTACCAAGAAAGCTACTTCCCTTTGATCTGTCCAAGTAAGCATAACAAACATGTAACATGAGTGAATGTCCATAAAAAACAAGACACAGAAGTTAATGGTCAGTGTGTTACATTTATTCACTTCAACATTACTTTGATCATAGAACTGAATCACATGATGTATTATTTCGAAATTTTACTGCATCTGCCGTCTTGTTTATTTGACTTATTGACTTTTGCCATTGACTTTTTACATTTCTTGGTGTGAATGTTGTCCAAACTGCACGAAATTGCTTAAAATGCAATCAAATGTTTAAAAAATTTCTGGGGGGGGGGGGGGGGGGAATGCCCCCAGACCCCCTAGAATTTTCCTCTTTTGGGAAAACCTGCTCACATCCCTGTGTATAATTCATCTTTTTTTTAATACACTGTACAGTGTATCCCTGTGAGGTTGTCATGATTATTAGTACAATATACTTCATGTGTAAACTTGACATTATACTAGGTGAGCTCCATATCGTACCACACTTATGGTGAATATTTTTCTTGTGCTGCATTCATAAAGAAAGTGAAACACCTTTGCTCCCAGTTAGTATGGTGAGGGCTAGTACTTGTTCTCATTATTCAAGCTAGTAAACATTTCAACATTTTTTCACTTCTAATTGTACATATGCAATGTGAGAATGATGAAAGTTAATAACTAGTATGCATGGTGTACAGCTTTAGCAAAGCAACTAACTGTATTCAAGTTATGTTCTTACGAATACATTTGATAACTAAAAAACACCAATTTTAGATTTCCGCAGTGTTTATTTGCCTCGATTTACAACCATGTAAATTACCAAAAATGTGAAGTACTGTCATTTGTAATTATTTTTATACTTCATGGACTAAGTATTTCACAAATGTGGATACAAGTTAACTTTGATCAACACAGCATGAAGAGATTTTGTCGCATAACTACTTACTGATGCAAGTACATGTACTGTCATAAATCGTACATATGTAACGAAGATTCAAAATTGCATGTGGTACCTTCAGAATCAGGAAGGAGAAAAGGACACATTTGAGTTTAAAATACATAATATGTAATAGAAACAATCATATCATGAAAACAAAACCAGTAATGACTTCCTGAAACATTTATTGTTTTCAAGGAACAAGAAGTACTAAGTTGACACAATCAGAACATATTTTTCATTGTTTAGAGTTTAACAAACAATTATGGCGGTGACAAAATGGTTGGGCTGAAAGGCATAAAAATGTTTTGCATATCTACAGCGGTAATGTTATTAATATTTTTCATTATTACTATTTTCAAAGTAATAGTTACATTGTTGGAATATTATTTTATCATAAACTAGATCAGTGGAGACATGCAGATACTGTTACAATTGAAACAATGGTTGTGAGTGTGTAGTTTTTTTAATATAACCACGAATCATACTTCTCGCTGAGTGATACCTCCGTAATGTTTACTCTTGTAGTCTTGACATGTCAATTATTCACGCTGTACAAAAGTGTGCATACCTCCTATACGGAGACTGGGTCAATGTTTCAGGCCTGTTCCCAGGACAGACATATCAATTTGTACAACAATACCATGTTCAAATGATCATTCCAATACATGCTGCAGTTGTTGGGAAAAATACCTTGATAAACAGTGAAATAATTGTAATACCTTGTATTCTAATAACAGTTATGACGATACATCTCACCTTCAGGGACATGTAATAACACAGGTGAAGTACTACAGCCAACAATGCTGTTAAATATTAAAGTGGTTCAAAGCTCATATGATGATGGCTGCATGTCTTTGAAGAAAGTTTAGCATGATTCCAAAAACGATTTTCTGGGATAATATGTATGAACATTATGACACAGAACAGATCACAATTGTGAATGATTCACACATCTACTCTACATTCACAAAAATAAAACTGATTAACTAATTAGTAGCTATTTGATAAGGACGCAGTGAAAACTGAAACAGACATGAGTCTAAAATTGTTCACCAGCGCCAGCCGTGGACATATACATGAGGTGTCAATAAAAATTTGACGCGCAATATTACTCTTTGTTATTATTTCTTGCTGCAGGTAGTGACAAGTCATGATTGATCACCGATATATGGCATCGCAAATGGAACCTGGCGATAGATGCTGAGTGATGACTTGGTTCATGATGTACATGTTTTAGTGCGCTTTTTATTGTAAAAAAAAAGTAGTATTTATGAGATATTGAAAAATAATCAGCCGATAACGACAACTACTCGGACTAGAATTATCGTACCTCCTATCACATGTATTATAAATTCAATCATGGTAATGGGCTAATGCCCTATTTAACAAGTGGTGGCTGATAGTTGGAAAGCATTCCTATAACAAAAACTATCTGGGACGCTAAGTGTTTCATTGAAAGAGGAATAACTGTGTTTAATATACGATACTCCCTCAACCTTCCCACTGATCTCTCCACATGTATTCTTGTTCTAGCAATAGATCGAGTCAAGATATCTTCTTGAGGAGTCAGCTTGTCCCTTTTGCCTAGAAATGGAGGAATATTCAAGTGTGCTCTACGGCTCATGAGGAGATCTTTGATATTGAAGCCTCTATCGGCTAAGATCAAATCACCTGGGTTAATTTTTTCCAGAAAGCCTGATTTCCTGATAATATCTCTGTCTGATATGCTACCTTCATATGCATCAGACAAAAATGTAACAGCACCAGTTGGAGAAATTCCAAGTAAAACTTTCAAGGTGTTGTGAGTTTTGTACTGAGAGTACATGTTACCTTGCTCACCATAATCACTTGGTCGCTCAGAAAACACTTCGAAACAATCAACAATAACTCTGATGTTTTTGAAGCTTTTAAACACAGATGGCAATGTTTTCCTGATAAGATGTCTAGAAGGAAAGATGTGATCTTTCAAAGTAATAAATTTCATGTACAGAAACTGAATCCAAGTGGTAATGATACAGGAAACAGAACCGACACTGATGTTATATCTATAGGATAAATCTTTTGTTGGAAAGTTTCTCCTTAATCTGACAAGTGTCAAAACAAGCTGGTCTTTGATTGATAAAACCCGGCACTTGCCAGGTTTACTGGAACTTATCTTATTTCCACGCCAGTAACAGATGTCATTTACACTGTCACCAAGGGAAGCAAAAAGATGATTAAAATGAACAGTTTTCATGCCAGTATAGTACTTGAATTTCTTCTTATTAGATACCAAATTATTAAATAGTAAATCACAGCTTTTGTTGTCAAGATCCCTGCTTATTTCACAATCTGAATCAGGGACTTGTGCTGTCATCTTTTCATAAATTTTAGATACCAGAATGCTGGAACACACAAACTCAGTCTGATTGGACTCATGCTTCGTTGTTGGCATTGCTTGGCAGGCAGCATCACTGGACCTGAGCTCAGTCAAGGTAGCCTCTTCTATGTCAGCACCAGTAGCACAGACATTCTGTTCCTGTTGACATAAAAATTAACTAATGATACATAATGTTTGATCATTAACATCTAAGGCATGGTTAGGAAATTGTTTTATCTTAGTGGCAATGTCATGGTTGAAGTAAGTTCCTGGTGCCTGAGTGAGTATGGCTTTACACCGCTTTTAGAAATACTCCAGCAATATCACGACAGGGGACACAAGAAATGGGCTTCACACATTGTACTCATGTGGGGAATCGAGACCATTCTTTGGCATGGCGAGTGAACACTTTAACCACTAGGCTACCCCACCGCCCCTCCTGTTGCCTTGAGGTCATACTTGTAAAATCTATTATTTCAACAATACCATAATACCACCTATTACAATGATTGCATCAGCTGCTATTAATAAGATAAACAAATGGTGAACAAACACACAACGTGCTTAAATGCTTAATGCATCAATGAAAACAGTGTTATCAATTTCAATGAAATTGAAAAGGGCAGGGAATAACTTTTAAATTACAACTGCTTATTATCTAGCCATGGTGAAATGACATTAATGAGTCTAACCCTTTAAGGTTAGGTGTAAGGCGACATTTTCATAAACAAGTTATCTGCTGAAGCTAACGCTGACTTGCAACTATGTCCTATATTCAAAGAAAATATTCCTTTAGGATAACATTATTAATGGTTTACATTCCAAAATTGCATACCATAATTTTTTTTACTTAAACAAAATATGGATCTAATATTTACCATTGTTTACACGGTTAAATATGATTGCAGAGCCCATTTTACATCTGATTACAGGCTTAAATAAAAAAAACTTTACAAATGTAATACATTTATGGCAATACAAAATTTGGTCCATACCAATTCAGTATTGACTGTTTCCTGCCACTCCAGGTGCTTTCTAGAGGTGTATGGGTGGTCAGCTGCACACACTGCAAGTAAAGATAGGCCATCACCTGCTGTAGAAGTGGGCTCCAACCTGGATACCTTACATGGAAGGGGACATCTCTCCACAGGGCTCTTTCTTTTCTTAGAAAATTTCACCACCTAGAAAAAAAATAATATATGGACTGCACAAATCTGCCACTATGTTTGGAACATGGGCCTAGAATCTACTTATTGCTCACATGGTTGCTTTAATCAATTTTCCATGACATTTGAACCCAAATTAATGTTGTCATAATTCCAAATAAAATAAATCTAAATCAGTTGTTAAATCTGAAAACTGTTCACAAAATTGACAAAATGTGGTATGACATATCCAGTAAACACTTTGAACATCGAACATTAATTTGACCTTCTAGGCCTAGTCTACCTATGGTGGTATCGACAGAGATCTAGATCTATGTGTCTGACGTTATAATGAAAAAAATACACAAATAATAACACGTACCTGATCAAATGTATATGTTGCCGGGATAGGATCGGGATGTTCAAGTGAAGGACCATTCCCGCCGATAAAGTGCTTTGAACATATGTAGGTGTACTTGTTGACCTTGTCCGTCGTAAAGCCCTCTCGACGACAGGCGCGAACCCACCTTGTACACTTCTCAGGCTGCTTGTGAAACTTAGGAAACAAAATAAAATGGATCCCTGCCATGTCAGGCCTATCCGTATAGCGGTTGTCACTTCGGCAGATCCCATACGCACAGTGTTTAGCTGGCATCGTGTTAAAATATCCGAAACCGCGCTACGATTCTAACAAGCGGAAGAGGGACAAAATGGCAATGTTTGTCCCTCGTTTTTCGCGCATGCGCGAACCCAAAATAGAGCGGAAGTATCTAAAATTCTATTTTTAGTAGTTTGGCCTTGTTGATGAAATGGCTTATTTTAACAACCAATAGATAGATCTATAGATATATAGTAATCCGGTCTTAATAGAAGATCGTTACGGTTTTCATTCATACATGCCATTGTATGTGTATTTGTTTGATAGAACTACACATATTTATAAGAACTGATCGTTACAAAATATATTGGCAAACAAGGTTAAAATGTGTCTTTGGAAAAATCGTCCCGACGTGGTCAGAAAGAGTTATCCCCCTTGGCCGGCAAAGCGATCGGTTTTCGATCAAACATTTATCGGTTAGATCTTGCTTTTTGTTTATCTGTTCTTACTTGTTCGTTGGTCATAATGTTATCTAGTCTTTGTGCAAACATAATTTACAGTCTACAACCATTCACTATGGTACTTTTTATTTTCAGATACTGAGATGGAGAACGTCAACGTGCCTGCTGACCCTGCACATGACGCATGTTTGTATTCTATGTCTGTAGGCCCAGAATGAGTGTAGGACTAACATAGATATATCATCGGGGAAGCATCAAATCTCATCTAGATTATTAGTGTTAATTAACTTGTTTTGCTGAAAGGTCTGTGTTCTGGGTTCAAAGTGAGGTCCTTTTCTGGCGTTCGCTCCATTGTGAGATAAGGCCCACGCTCTAATTCACTAGTCAACGTGCCCTCTTTTTTGTTTGTTGTTGTTGTTGTTGTTGTTATGATGAACACTGAGGGAATATATAGACATATGAGATTAATAAAGGATCATAAAGATTATTGTGCATTCGGCAAATTTATAGTAAACTATACATGTATCATTGATTACCTCCCTTTGCAACCAATATGTCAAGATATCAGTACCAATTTACAAATTTTTTTATTCCCAGGGTATCCAAGTGGGCTGTGTCCTGCCACATTCAGGAAATTTGAGGTGCAACCTTTGTAGGAAATCAGGTATGTTGTATTCTACCCCTATACATGTTGGGAATTACATTAATTTATATTATTATACTAAGGCTAATTTACTGCTGTATAGATTTAGCACAAGCTAAGCACAGGTGCTGTGAACATTTATCTTTATGCACCCCCATGATAAAGTCAGGGATAACGATAGAGGAATCATCATACATCAAATTAAATCATGGATGTCATGATATGAAATACCACATTTGTAGTATTATCGGTACCTCATTATATCAGTCTTTCATCGCTGGATCATCAGCTGACACACTGTGATATTACTGAAACACTGTTCTAAGTTGCATTAAGCCAACTCAACCATTCACTATGCAAACTTACTGACCTGATTATGGCAATTGTGAAAGTATTACTTTCCCTCAGACCTTAGGCCATTTATTAAGTTATGAGGTGTAAGTTGGTATACTGTAATCAAACTACAGGCTATCATGAATACAGGAATATCCAATTTGAAGTCAAATGAGCTTATGTCATGGTGCATTATCTGTCATCTGTCCATAACTAACTTGTACACTTTCAAAACCTCTTCTGAATCTACAAGGCCTATGAAACTGAAATCTCAGCAATGATATTCTAAAACATGAGGCCATTTACAAAATATCACTTTTGCATATTACACAGCCATATCATTTGATATGTGTTATGGGGTTTACATTGGTGTATTTTTTGCTTGATCTGGGAGGAACATCTTAGATATTTACCACTTGATGAGACCCACCAGCGTGGAAATGGTGCTGACAACCCAAGGAAAATAATCATGGTAATTATGGGATTTGAACCCATTGTCATAGATTTCTGGCATATGAAAGAGATGCAGCTTAGTCTCTGAAAATGTAAAATATTGATAGAAACATTTTGTATTCATTTTAGTTTAAAAGTAGACCCAGTGAGATGGGCTGGGCGGAAGGGAAAATAATATGCTTCAAGGACTGTGAGACAGACAGGGATGCAACTCTGCCCAGCAAATTGAGGTGGCTTCTTGGATGACTGTATTACCTGTGCCTTCTATGGCCTTAAACTTTCACATACCTTATGAAGTTTGTTTGTGTTTTCAATATCTTCTCTGAAAATCATATTTTCAATAAGCTGAGATTTTGTGTATTTGATCCCACTAACATGATTCCAATACAACTTCAAGCTGTCAAGACATGGCAACCATATTGAACATATACTTTTCACCCTTTAGAAAGCCACTTCTGCATTTACATTATGAAATTTGATATACAGTAATTATTTGGTAAACCCAACAACAGGGTCACATTTTGCAAGTTTTTCTTATATTTTGAACTGCAACATTTTGTCTTCATGGGCTGCTGCAGCAGTCATGATGAATGTGTTCTTTGACTCGTTTCATTACCAATTATTATCCCCCACAACATGTTTTGCGGGGGTATTAAAATGGACATGGTCAGTCCTTGCATTCATACTTCTGTGTAAGATTTTGAAAAAACGTTTACCATTTTCTTCACCAATCATGGTACATGGATAGGCCTAGTGGTGACCTGGTGCCTGTTGATAGTTTTGGATTTTTGTAAAATGTATCTTAGTTTTATCTTTAGTTTCCATGGCAACAACTTTGACTGAAATAGGAGGGTAGTGATCATTCTTGGAACATACCTTAAAAATCTACAATATTTCTTCACCAAACTTGACACACAGATCGGTCTAGTGGTGAACTGGTGCCTTTTGATAGTTTAGGATTTTTTAAAAATTAATATTTTGAGATGCCACAACTTTGACTCATACTGAAAATTCTCCTTTCTATGCAGATTAAATTTTTTTTACAATATTTCCTTAACAAGCATGGAACATAGATAGGTCTAGTGTTGAACTGGTGCCTTTGGGTAGTTTAGGATTTTTTAAAAATTGAGACTTTGACTCATACTGAAAATGAGGGTAGTGCTCCTTTCTGGGCAGATTAAAAAAACTTACAATATTTCCTTAACAAGCATGGCACATAGATAGGTCTAGTGTTGAACTGGTGCCTTTTGATAATTTGGGATATTTAGTTTCCATAGCAAGTATTTAATATTTAGGGGATAATGGTGAATTTGTCTTCTTGCATATACTGTCATCCTTTTAATTGGTCAAGATGCTGTGAGAAAGTCTGTTCTGTAGATAAATAGTTTTGTTTCTTTTGCTTATTTATCATAACCTTGTATTGCCTTTTTGTTGTAATAATATATTCCGTGAAAAAGTACAGGGAAGCTACAGAGCCATTTTAACACCTATACCCAGGGTAGTTTGTTCGAACAGTATTTCTGTCAGTCATGTGAGGGGACAGCCATAAGCTATTACATCAGAGCTACAGATAAGCAGCGTATTTGTGTAAAATACCCCCCCAAATTATTTAAAACCCAATTACTTTCCATTAACTTGTGTACAGAAACGCATGCATTAAATGAAAAACTCAAATTATTAAAACAGCTCGCGTAAATGCCCAATGAAGCTTTTTCAGCATGCATACAAAGGAGCTAATTTCTGAAACACAATTACAAGCTAATTTACTTTCTGAGTCAAAACTATGTATTTAGAACATTATTTCATTTTTTTGAAATCTTAAAATGTTCACTAATTTTGGGAAAGACCCAAGAGAGTGATGAATAGATGAGTGAAAAAATATTGGTTACCCAATGAAAAATGTAATAACCCAATTAAAATAGAAACCCTAAAGTAAAAACTGAATTGCTCAAAAAGTTATCTGGAGCTCTGTTACATGAGTCAGTTTAATGGCACCAATACAATGGGCACATCTGGCCTCAATTAGGTTGAATCTGGTAAACTGTGTCTGTGATTTTTTTGGGTGACAACATTGCAGCCATATTGAATGTTATTTTGACCAGGTACTCATGTATCATGGTGTTATTCATTAAACAGGCTGTAATACTATATTTCAATCTCCAATGTGCTATGTTTCAGTGATCATATGTTCCATTTGGTCATGCCATCATCTTTCACCTTTTTGTGTCCTAATAATGGAATGTACCAGTAAGTGTAATAACCTTGTACCTGCAATATTTCCTATGAATCTTTTTGGAAGTGAAGCTATGATTGGTTATATATGTATGTTATTATGCACTCCAACAATGGTATAAAATAGATCTACTGTTCTTTCCAGATTTCAGATTCAGATTATCATGCCATGGTCATACCCTTTGCATGCACCCTTGTATCTAGATTACAGGTATACTAACACTGTTTGGATTGTCACGGACATGATCCAAGTAATTCAGTCTCAAAAACGTAGTCACAGAATTTGATTCTTAACATTCCCAAAGGGCAACTATATGGAATGTCAGTTTTGTGTGACCTGGCTGATTTGGTGACATTACACCCCAATTACATGGATAGTTGTTAGTGCTATCAACCTCTTGCCTGCCTGGACCAAGCACCATTAATTTAAGTGGTCATAAACAATTCACTCGTTTTTCCTCATTTGTCAATCATTATTAAATATTCATATCATTTGGTGTATCTGAACATTTGTTACTTATTTCTGCATAATCTTGTTAATCTATTTATGATGACCTTTACCAGTATTTAATTCCCTAAAAATAAATTCTGATCAGTTTCAGGCACATTCAAATGCTTCGTAATGAGGCATATTTTTGTTTATCCTAGATAACCTTAGCAATGTTGTCATGAAGAGGTTGATGGATGTTTATCACACTTTTTTAACCTTCATTTGCAAAGGTATTTTTGTAGCTTCCAATTCTGATTTGTTCAACTTTAAGAACTTTCTTCTCAGAAACCAAGGAAACTAAAACTTAATGACACCTGGCATGTGTAGAACCACAATGGGACTCGGATTAAGTTATGTGGTTGTCCCAGTGTTTTATTTTACAATTTGTTCATTCAGTTCTGTGGTGTCATGTGTTGTGTTTATTCTTATGAAGATTTTCATTCTTCGTATACAATGTTCACAGGTTTCACTGTCCAGTTACAAGAAGCCTGGTGTAAATAGCTTGTTTGGTCCAGTTGCACCCAACAAAGGTAACATTGATCGCCTCGAAACGTAGGATTCATGTCTGCATGTCGTTAAACAAACTGGTTGTAATATAGCATAGACTATTTTTCCAGATAAGACAAATATACAAAATAAAACAAAATACTTTTTGAATACAAACGACATGGCCTGCTTGTCTGGTGTTTGTCATCCTGACACAACTATTAGCTCACCAAGGTGAGCTTATGCCATACCGTGGGGTCCGTCGTCCGTATGTCAACGATTTTTTCAAAAAACTTCTTCTTTTGACAACAAATTGACAATTCACGAAATTTGACTGGGAGCATCCCTAGGTGGTGAGGATTCAAAATTGTACAAATGGTGGGGCTGACCCCCCAAAGGGCTGGGTGGCGGGGCCTAATGGGGGTAATTTGGCTATGTTGCTTTAAACGACTTCTTTATTGGAACTAAGAGATAGATATCAACCATATTTGGTTGGAAGCATTCTCCAATGCTGGGGATTAAAAATTGTACAAATGGAGAGGGCTAACCCCCCAAGGGTCAGGGCCAAATAGGAGTAATTTGGCTATATTCCTCTCTTGAACTAAGAGATAGATATCAACCATATTTGGTTGGAATCAATTCTCCAATGGTGGGGATTCAAATTGGAGAAATGGAGGGGCTGAAATTGCTTCTTGAAAAACAATTAAGAATGAAAATAAAAAAAGAGAAACTACACTCTCCAGGAAGCTTAAACTTAACTTTGTAGAAATGATGATGATCACTTGTAGCTTACACAAAGCGAAGGTTCAAATAAGCTTATGTCATGGCTAATGGAAAAAAGTAACTGCTGTGTATTAAGTAGTGTAAATGTTATTGTAAATTACAACATAATATTTGGTCTTTTGTCTCATCAATGTTTTATCGTAACAAATTCATTGACAAAATCCATTCCTGGTAATTGGAGATGGAGAGACACGCCCCCAAAGAGGGGTGCAACTTGTAGGCGGGCACTATCCTGCTGCAACATGACATTACGTCCCTGCATGTGCACAAAGGCAAGAACATGATCTCAAACGATGTCCTCATAACAGTGATGAGTTGTGTTTTCCCATGAGTTGTGATGCCACCCCATACCATTACACTTCCACCCCAAAACTGATGATGATAAGTAATGCAAGAGTTGCTAAAACATTCTCCAGTATGCATGTAGACCTTTGCACGACCATCAGAGCTGTTCAGATGAAACCCTCACTCATTTGTGAACAGTGTACTGTCCCTGTTTTTCTTCTGAACCTCAGATGCTGTCTACACCAAGTGTGACTGATAGTCCTGTGTAAGCAAAATTAGGCATATTGCTGAATGTTGGGACCGGATGTTGTGCTCTCTCAACCGGTAACGTACAGTTCTGCCACTAATTCGTCTTAGCCCAAGAATTTTCCGATTATTAATGTGGCAGATGATATTTGTGATTCGATGAACATTAAAAATGTTTGGCAACTTCGTTTTGCGCATTTTGTGTTTCCGACATGTCATCAAGCCGTGACAGCATTAATAATTACAGTTGAACAAAAAGAAAAAAGATTTTATTAGACCCAAAGAGCTAAACAATCATTGTGTGCTGTTTACATTATGAAAACTTGTGTAAATACCTTGCTCCCAACAAATATGCAAACACACAAATTATGCGCAGTCCATAAACATTTGCATGCAAATTGTGAATCACGACCTTAAAACTGAGGAGATGTCTTCATCAATATGCATATTGAAAGATGCATTATTTAATTTCAGATTAAACTTAGTTTTGTTCAATCTCATTAAAATCTGATCTTAGTTTTCGCTACCGCTAACCAAAGATCTGAGGACAGCTATCTCGAGCTTTACTGCACTAGTTTCAAACTGGCGACTACGCCTCGAAACATATTTTGACGTATTCTCGATTAAATAAATTTAAAACTGACCAAAACAACATTCTGGAATGACTTATAGATGGCCTAAATTGCATGGATATAATCATAAAACCCATAACTGTCGTTCGGAATACCCTCTGTTAAATATTTCGAGGATGCATGATTAGAAAACACATTTTGACTGTCACTTTCAGGATCTGGTAAGTGATGCTCTGATTGGTTGGATGAAAGGTCATGCTGACGTGACCCATAATGGGATGTCCTCAGATCATTTTTTAGCGGTAGCGAGAACTAAGATCTGATTTTAATGAGATTGAGTTATGTTGGACTTTTTATTAAGAAAAGTTACCTTTTTCTGCTAGTATGTATGTCGTTAACGATTTCACTTTCAACATCTCCTCTAGAGCTACAAAGCCTATGAAGCTGAAACTTGGCATGAATCATCCCAGCAATGATGTCAGAATTGTGATTTGATGTTAAGCGTGTCGCTATGTAACAGCAGCATATAAAATTCCCGGAAGGGCAACTTTGCAAATATTCCTGTCCAGATAAAATGCTTCCCGTCCAGAATTTTCTACACTAATGAACAAAAGTAACAAAATGGTGAACATAAGAAAAGTACTGTTGATTGTTAGTTTTCAGAAAATAACAATAAACTGATGGATTGTCAACTTAGTTACTTTAACTCATTGAAATTCATCAAATTCCAAGTCTGATTGACTGCCTCTATGGTGTACTGGTAGAGTGTCTGCTCGGAGAGTGGAAGGTCAGAAATTCGATCCCTTGAAGCATCATTCCAAAAGACGTTAAAAGATGGTACTTGTTGTTACCCTGTCTTGCTCTCGGTAGTAAGGGCTAAAAGAAGGAATGGTCCACTCGGAGTCAGTATACTGTGTATAAAATTTGTTTTGCAGGTTTTTGTTGAAGTATATATTTTTTCAAAATTCATGTCTAACTGTATCAGTCATCTCCCTCACAAAATGTTAGAAATTTGGTTGTATTTTAAGAACCTTACACTTACATACTTTGAAAATAACAAAATCAGATCAAATTATCATCTGTTATCACATTTTCCTTCACACGAATATCCAGATACAAATTATGAGTCTGTGTCCAGAAACCAGAAATCTTTTACCAAAAAATAAATGCATATCAGTTTCTGGATGTGAATTACAAAAAGTACACAAATTATCATCAGATATTTTCCTTTTTGTTCAAGAAAATATTTGTGGTAATAACACCATCTTAATTTTGTATCCTGGACACATTTAACTGGCTTGAGAAAAATTTCTTGCCAGTTGAGATAACTGCAAATTATAACTTCCCATTAAGTTTTGAATTTAAGTGAGACAACATGATATTAAACTATAATATCTTTACAGGCATTTTTAATGGAACATAACTTGATGTTGCCATGAACCTAAAATAAATGTATGCTATACCCACAAACGGTCAACTGTTTCCTGATTGGCTGATAATAGAATGGGAGGGGCTTGTTTTTCATTATATTGGGTTTAACAATGTCACTGATTTTCTATTGTTGTCTTTCTGTTTGTTTATGTAAGTAATTAAAGAAGGAGTCTATGAAGTTGTTAATATTGACATATTTATTTAAAAAAATTGACTCCAATATAATTTTAAATTAATGTGGGTATAAATGTAAAAATAAGGTGTACAACGTGGATTTATTTATATTGAAGTTAAATCATAAGTTATTTTTCCATGAAAAATGTTCAATCAATGGTGATGACATCACTTATGTGAATATTTTCAACCTTTTCAGGGCAACTACCATGCTGTAATGAAACTTGATGGTATCAGTTTACACCAACGCTAAACTACATATACAGCTCCCAATACAGTGTGCTTTGAGAAGGGAGAGCAACTATGCCCTGTACGTTCTGGAAAGAAGAAGTGTTGAGAAGAAGAGTTCTGTGTTGAAGTCAGCATTGACATCCTTAGTAGTGAAAAGATCAGCAGGGAGTAGCATCAGTTCGCTACTGTGTGGCGGGACAGTGTTTCTCCCTATACTCATGGACAGTACTGTACATCTAAACATATGATTCATATTATATATTGTTTCATAATGTGAGGTGTGTTTTTTTCATTCAAAATATCAATTATCATATATGGTGAATTTAGCATCTTACAAATATACTGTGCATGGAATTTCTTCACTGACACTGTTTTCAGCATTTTGAGGCAAAACTCTTTTCATGTGTTACATTTATGTTTATTGTTTCCTCAACAATAAAGAACTAGCAAAATGATGAATTTCGTTTGTAGTTGATTGATTATGACAAGGATAAACAGTATTATGTAGGCATGAATGTGTTCATGTATTCATCACCGAACGACATGATGTCAAATGGCTGATTGTGTTAATGTGCCCAATTGCATGGGTTTTGCTGATCTTGTCAGCCACTGATTTGCCTTGTCCACAATACATTTACCAGCCACCATGCTATAGCTTACATTACAATCCTGGCAATCCATGCTACGGGTTATGATTTTACATCCAAACAGATGGTAAGTTAGACAGTACCAAAATAATGATGTCACCATATTATCTCAACAGAAACATGAATCGCGAGGTGCTTTGGTAATGGTTACTACCCAATATTTGTCCGACAGTGACATAAAGCTGCGTAATTCTTGAATCAGACGCTAATGTCGCTAAATATCAACAGAAACATGAATCACATGGTTCTAGGGTTAGGGTTTCTGCCCAATATCTGTCCAACGGTGATGTGAAACTGGGTTATTCCTGATACAGACGCTGATGTTATCGTATTTCATGAATCATGAGGTGCTAGGGTTAGAGTTTCCACCCAATATGTGTCCAACAGTGATGTAAAACTGGATTATTCTTGAATCAGACGCAGATATCACGAAATCTCTACAGAAACAAGAATCATGAGGTTCTAGGGTTAGGGTTTCCACTCAATACATGTCCGACAGTGATGTAAACTGGGTTATTCTTGATACAGACGCTGATGTTATAAAATCTCAACATAAACATGAATCATGAGGTTCTAGGGTTAGGGTTTCTACTCAATTTATGTCCAACATAGATGTAAAACTGGGTTATTCCTGATACAGACGCTGATGTTAACGTATTTAACAGAAACACGAATGATAAGGTTCTAGGGTTAGGATTTCTACTCAATATATGTCCGACAGTGATGTAAAACTGGGTTATTCCTGATACAGACGCTGATGTTATCGTATTTCATGAATCATGAGGTGCTAGGGTTAGGGTTTCTACCCAATATATGTCTAATTGTGATGTAAAACTGGATTATTCCTGATACAGACGCTGATGTTCTCGTATCTCAACAGAAACATGAATGATAAGGTGCTAGGGTTAAGGTTTCTTCTCAATATATGTCCGACAGTGATGTAAAACTGGATTATTCCTGATACAGACGCTGTTGTTCTCGTATCTCAACAGAAACATGAATGATAAGGTGCTAGGGTTAGGGTTTCTACTCAATATATGTCCGACAGTGATGTAAAACTGGATTATTTCTGATACAGACGCTGTTGTTCTCGTATCTCAACAGAAACATGAATGATAAGGTGCTAGGGTTAGGGTTTCTACTCAATATATGTCCGACAGTGATGTAAAACTGGGTTATTCCTGATACAGACGCTGATGTTATCGTATTTCATGAATCATGAGGTGCTAGGGTTAGGGTTTCTACCTAATATATGTCTAATTGTGATGTAAAACTGGATTATTCCTGATACAGACGCTGATGTTCTCGTATCTCAACAGAAACATGAATGATAAGGTGCTAGGGTTAGGGTTTCCACCCAATATGTGTCCAACCAGGTGATGAAAAAACTGGGTTATTCCTGATACAGACGCTGATGTTATCGTATCTCAACAGAAACGTGACTCGTGAGGTGCTAGGGTTAGGGTTTCTACCTAATATATGTCTAATTGTGATGTAAAACTGGGTTATTTCTGATACAGACGCTGATGTTATCGTATCTCAACAGAAACGTGAATCGTGAGGTGCTAGGGTTAGGGTTTCTACCCAATATATGTCTAATTAAGATGTAAAACTGGGTTATTTCTGATACAGACGCTGATGTTATCGTATCTCAACAGAAACGTGAATCATGAGGTGCTAGGGTTAGGGTTTCTACCCAATATATGTCTAATTGTGATTCAAAACTGGGTTATTTCTGATACAGACGCTGATGTTATCGTATCTCAACAGAAACGTGACTCGTGAGGTGCTAGGGTTAGGGTTTCTACCCAATATATGTCTAATTGTGATGTAAAACTGGCTTATTTCTGATACAGACGCTGATGTTATCGTATCTCAACAGAAACGTGAATCATGAGGTGCTAGGGTTAGGGTTTCTACCCAATATATGTCTAATTGTGATGTAAAACTGGGTTATTTCTGATACAGACGCTGATGTTATCGTATCTCAACAGAAACGTGAATCATGAGGTGCTAGGGTTAGGGTTTCTACCCAATATATGTCTAATTGTGATGTAAAACTGGGTTATTTCTGATACAGACGCTGATGTTTTCGTATCTCAACAGAAACGTGAATCGTGAGGTGCTAGGGTTAGGGTTTCTACCCAATATATGTCTAATTGTGATGTAAAACTGGGTTATTTCTGATACAGACGCTGATGTTATCGTATCTCAACAGAAACGTGACTCGTGAGGTGCTAGGGTTAGGGTTTCTACCTAATATATGTCTAATTGTGATGTAAAACTGGGTTATTTCTGATACAGACGCTGATGTTATCGTATCTCAACAGAAACGTGACTCGTGAGGTGCTAGGGTTAGGGTTTCTACCCAATATATGTCTAATTGTGATGTAAAACTGGGTTATTTCTGATACAGACGCTGATGTAATCGTATCTCAACAGAAACGTGAATCGTGAGGTGCTAGGGTTAGGGTTTCTACCTAATATATGTCTAATTGTGATGTAAAACTGGGTTATTTCTGATACAGACGCTGATGTTATCGTATCTCAACAGAAACGTGAATCGTGAGGTGCTAGGGTTAGGGTTTCTACTCAATATATGTCTAATTAAGATGTAAAACTGGGTTATTTCTGATACAGACGCTGATGTTATCGTATCTCAACAGAAACGTGAATCATGAGGTGCTAGGGTTAGGGTTTCTACCCAATATATGTCTAATTGTGATGTAAAACTGGGTTATTTCTGATACAGACGCTGATGTTATCGTATCTCAACAGAAACGTGACTCGTGAGGTGCTAGGGTTAGGGTTTCTACCCAATATATGTCTAATTGTGATGTAAAACTGGGTTATTTCTGATACAGACGCTGATGTTATCGTATCTCAACAGAAACGTGAATCATGAGGTGCTAGGGTTAGGGTTTCTACCCAATATATGTCTAATTGTGATGTAAAACTGGGTTATTTCTGATACAGACGCTGATGTTATCGTATCTCAACAGAAACGTGAATCGTGAGGTGCTAGGGTTAGGGTTTCTACCCAATATATGTCTAATTGTGATGTAAAACTGGGTTATTTCTGATACAGACGCTGATGTAATCGTATCTCAACAGAAACGTGAATCGTGAGGTGCTAGGGTTAGGGTTTCTACCCAATATATGTCTAATTGTGATGTAAAACTGGGTTATTTCTGATACAGACGCTGATGTTATCGTATCTCAACAGAAACATGAATGATAAGGTGCTAGGGTTAGGGTTCCTACTCAATATATGTCCGACAGTGATGTAAAACTGGATTATTCCTGATACAGACGCTGTTGTTCTCGTATCTCAACAGAAACATGAATGATAAGGTGCTAGGGTTAGGGTTTCTACTCAATATATGTCCGACAGTGATGTAAAACTGGATTATTCCTGATACAGACGCTGATGTTATCGTATCTCAACAGAAACATGAATGATAAGGTGCTAGGGTTAAGGTTTCTTCTCAATATATGTCTAATTGTGATGTAAAACTGGATTATTCCTGATACAGACGCTGATGTTCTCGTATCTCAACAGAAACATGAATGATAAGGTGCTAGGGTTAGGGTTTCTACTCAATATATGTCCGACAGTGATGTAAAACTGGATTATTCCTGATACAGACGCTGTTGTTCTCGTATCTCAACAGAAACATGAATGATAAGGTGCTAGGGTTAGGGTTTCTACTCAATATATGTCCGACAGTGATGTAAAACTGGATTATTCCTGATACAGACGCTGTTGTTCTCGTATCTCAACAGAAACATGAATGATAAGGTGCTAGGGTTAGGGTTTCTACCTAATATATGTCTAATTGTGATGTAAAACTGGATTATTCCTGATACAGACGCTGATGTTCTCGTATCTCAACAGAAACATGAATGATAAGGTGCTAGGGTTAGGGTTTCTGCCCAATATCTGTCCAACGGTGATGTGAAACTGGGTTATTCCTGATACAGACGCTGTTGTTCTCGTATCTCAACAGAAACATGAATGATAAGGTGCTAGGGTTAGGGTTTCCACCCAATATGTGTCCAACAGTGATGTAAAACTGGATTATTCTTGAATCAGACGCAGATATCACGAAATCTCTACAGAAACAAGTATCATGAGGTTTTAGGGTTAGGGTTTCCACTCAATACATGTCCGACAGTGATGTAAACTGGGTTATTCTTGATACAGACGCTGATGTTATAAAATCTCAACATAAACATGAATCATGAGGTTCTAGGGTTAGGGTTTCTACTCAATTTATGTCCAACATAGATGTAAAACTGGGTTATTCCTGATACAGACGCTGATGTTCTCGTATTTCATGAATCATGAGGTGCTAGGGTTAGGGTTTCTACCCAATATATGTCCGACAGTGATGTAAAACTGGATTATTCCTGATACAGACGCTGATGTTCTCGTATCTCAACAGAAACATGAATGATAAGGTGCTAGGGTTAAGGTTTCTTCTCAATATATGTCCGACAGTGATGTAAAACTGGATTATTCCTGATACAGACGCTGTTGTTCTCGTATCTCAACAGAAACATGAATGATAAGGTGCTAGGGTTAGGGTTTCTACTCAATATATGTCCGACAGTGATGTAAAACTGGATTATTCCTGATACAGACGCTGTTGTTCTCGTATCTCAACAGAAACATGAATGATAAGGTGCTAGGGTTAGGGTTTCTACTCAATATATGTCCGACAGTGATGTAAAACTGGGTTATTCCTGATACAGACGCTGATGTTATCGTATTTCATGAATCATGAGGTTCTAGGGTTAGGGTT